TTTTAATAGATTTTAGCGTCCAAACTAGTTTGCAACTTTTTCATAGCTTCTCAACCGATTGACTAGATCGCGTGAGGTTCTAATACAAAATTATTAAAGCTTAAAACCTCTAAACACGAAATTTAAATTTTTCTACTTTTCTAGATACGCAGTTTTTAAAAACTGCTCATACGCGGATTTGCATCACCGACAATATGTTATTCGCAGTAGGTACTATTATTTATATTTTTTTTATAAATTTTAGATAACGAAAATGAGAAGACTTATAAGGTCATCGTGCAGAAGTTCTGTTTTGAAGAGGTTTTTAAACGATGCTCTCAAGCTGTTATGGTTGCATTTTCTCTTTATTATGTATTAAATATACAATATCCTAAAGAGATATCCTGTACTCTCGAATTCATTCAAAGATTTTATCTAAAGATGCATCCCGATGATTGTGGAACTAAATCTAATGCAAAAAATAAAAAAAAGGTTTTGAATTTAATTAACAAAATTTATAAAAAATCTTAATTTTTTATTATTATGTATACATATATGTTTTCTAATAGTGTAAATTTATATATGTATACATACGTATACGTAAAGATATTGCCATTGACAGTTTTCTGTGCGACACAATGTATGTACACTATTAGAAAACAGTGTACAGATTTTTAGAATCCTTTATGTTTATGTTTTTTATGTTTATTGTTGTATGTTCTGATCTCATTTTATAAGAGTTTTTAGAAATAGGTATTTTCTTTTGTATTATACATATATATATATATATATGTATATATTATAAACATTTATATTAAAAGGATATACAAAAATATACCCTCATTATGTAATTCTTAGTTTTTGTTATATTTTTTACCTTTGATCCTTCCTGCCAATTCAAGTAAAAAACAATAAAGGAAAACTTTATATAGTTATCCTATATTTATTGCTTTATTTATTTATATTTATTATTTATTTATTGCTATGCATGTATAAACTTATAGGTATATATACAAATATATACCTATATTTATATAGGTATATATAGGCTTGTATACAAGCGTAAGTATTTATTTATATAGCAATAAATAAATAATAAATACAATAAATAAAGCAATAAATATATCGAATAAAAAGAAAATATATAATTTTACAAATACAATTAAAATAGTAAATTCACATAACGTATTGTAATTTTACAATACAACATGTTTTATTTTTCACAAGAAAGTTTGGAATTTAACATTGGTGAATGTAATTTTTTTACAGATAAAACTGTAAAAGTACAATGCTTGACTGAAATATATTTCAGTCACGCACTGTACTTTTACAGTTTTATCTGTAAAAAAATTACATTCACTAATGTTAAATTCCAAACTTTCTTGTGAAAAATAAAACATGTCGTATAGTAAAATTACAATACGTTATGTGAATTTACAATATCAATTGTTTTTGGTACAGGAACGTTACTGGCAACAAATTGCCAACAACGTTCATGTAAAAATTTTTTATAGTGTATTATAAAATTCAGCAGTTTGAATATCTGACAATTTTCATTTTGAAGTTTATAGGTTAGATTAACTTTTTCAAACTAGCCAATGAAAGCACAAGACGTATACCAAATTTTGTATACGTCGGACGTATAAATAGCCAGTTTGTTAATAATAATAATATTTTCCTTGATATCTTCTTGAATGTTCATCCAATATTTTCTTGTGTACGAACTGTACGAGTTCCACCGGCGAATTTTGATTTTACACTGCCTCTTTCGTTATAATCCCTTACCCATCTCAAAATGGCATTTCTTGATGGGACTTCAGCGAGCACTGGCAAATTATATTCACGACGAAAACGTCTCTGCGTTTGTACGAACGACTGGGTCAGAGTAAACGAATTTACAGCAAATATCCGTTGATTAACGGGCCAATTTGCCATTGCACACAAACCCTTCGGCAATAAGGTATAAGTCTGTCACTATTTGACATATACCAAATCAATAGTATTTCCCTAGCAGCCTTTTCAAAACCGTTCAATTCTGATGCCGGACCCTGTATTATAAATTATTTTTTCTACTCCCACCTTTAAAACGCCCTTTATCGTACATTTCCATGACACTAAGTGACCCTTTAAATACACATTGACAAGTTGTGGCTTTACGGCGCTTTAGTCACGGGCTGAAGTTAGCAACAGGTTTTTAGTCCCGGGCTGAAGTTAGTTTTAAGTTGTCAAATGTCATACAATCGTTAAAATAAAGTGCCTTTCTTGTAAAATAATACTAAATGTGAAAATTATTTTTTTATCTCAATACAAAAATATTTAATAGTTTCTCAACGCCAATATTTGAAAAGTTTATATGAACATTGTACTGACGGGCACGGACTCTACTGTAAAGTCCTCATAAAACATTTCCTTTACTTTCACTGTAAAAAACTGTCAATTTTTAAGATACATTTCGATTTATAACCTTTATAATTGTGTTTATAAAATGTAAAAATGTGACATTTGACAGTTTAACCTGTTGTTTAATAGATGGCGCACTATACAAATTTTTGATTTAAATCATTTTAAGATAATAATAAGTATTTGTCGTAGAAAAAGTATAGTATGCACCTCGTTTATAAACTTTTCTATATACTGATTAACTTAAGCACTCGCTCGCAAGCTCGCTCGTGCCTAAATTAAATTCGTGTATAAAAAGGCGTTTATCAAACTTGATACATAATATACTATTAAATTTGATTTTAATGGCATGAAAGAGCATAAAATTAGCTACAAAAATCATTTTATATATTTTTTATTTTTATAAACCGGGTAGGTATACAGTGATTCTATCTATCGCGTTTACCTTTAAATTATTAAAGAAATTGTAAACTCACAGCCTGTGAGTCACAGGTCACTGTAGAATAAATTCATATAGCATAAAAACACATTAAAAATAATATTTTAAGTGCCTAATATAATTTATTTAAAGCCTTGTAATTTTTTGATAAATATCTAGGCAATAAATCAGCATTCAATTTAAAACATCGGTAAACATAGGTAACTGTCAAAAACCACGGAAAACTTTAGACGAGACAAAAAAAAAAAGTTGTCCGATTTTGTTTAAATTTGGATGTTACCTACCTACCTGATACCTTTAAGGGACCTAAGCATAAAACTTATTTTTTGGATTTGAAAGCCCAAGGGCCACACTATGAGCTTTAGTTGATGACCGGTATAAAAAAAATAAAAATGATTGGTTTAGTTAATTTTATGCTCTTTCAGGCCATTAAATCAAAATTATATTTTTTTTTTTCGATTTAAAAATTTTCAAATAAAAAAAATGATATATAATAATAAATTTAAATAAATAATATTTAATTTAAAGCTTTGCAATCTACTCTATATATGTACAACATTTTATATAATTTTATAAATAAAAAAGTTATAGATTCTTGATGCGAGACAGACGAAGATTTTTCATAATGCGCCGCATACTTTTTTGTAGTCCTAACTGCCAAATAGGTAAAATCTGACATATTTTGATCGTTTTTTAAAGAGGTAGGTACTAACTAAAAATTGTTTTTTTTAATGTACCCAATTGGTCATGGTACACTATTATAGGGGATATAATATATATTTATTAACTGTGTTCTAAAATATTTTTTTTTTTTGCTTTTGTAGTATAATGATATTCGTTATGTATTTTTATGGTTAAGTGTAAGATTGATTTTTATAATCAAATTTCGCCATTGTATGTAAATATGTATGTATGTCAAATAAAGTCGTTTATTATTATTATTAATTTCAAAAGTTTATACTTAACTTGCATTACCCTACGCCTAATTAATTATGCGACGGTCATGTTAAAAATATATTTATTTTTTATTTAAAACCCTTTTAACCTTTATTTTCATGCACACCGAGCACTTTCCTAACCATCCTGGCATATTTAACTAAATTATCTAAAAGAAAAAAGTCAGTTGAACTAAATCCGAACAAAAAGTTTTTTTTAATCACTCTTAAAAGATACTGAGTATAAAACTTGTTTAGGACACAAAAAGCTTGTTGTTAGAAAGTACAGTGTGTTGTCTTGTCAGGTTTTGTAGATATGACCTTAGTTGCAATAAAAAATGCAGCAAATTGCTTTTAAAGCTCGAGAGGATACGATTTGCTGCAATACAGGTGGCTCTTTAAAAAGAAATGTTATTAGTTTTAGTTTGTGGTCGAGTGGAAAGAGAGATTTCCTATTAACGAGAAAATCTTTGCTGAAAGCAAATACAAAGAGAAATATTTATTAATGTATAATAATGCATTTTATATAGGAACTTTATTTGGTTTTGTTTGTTGTGAGATGGAAGAGAGGTTTCTTATTAAGTCGAAAATCTCGTTGATGTTGAAAAGCTCTTTAATAATAAATTTTAAAATATTTACGAATACTATGTAAATATCTTGTTGGAAAATGTTATGCAATAAAATATTCAACGTATTGAAAGCCAGGACATTTCAACACGATTCTCTATAAAAATATCATAAAGCTAATATTATTAAAACCACTAATGTTTATTCCTTTCCATGTAGCTTTTATAAAATACCTACAATGTTTGAAAAGCTTATATTGGTTTAGCATAAGTTTATGTAAACTAAATATAATTATAATAAAATGATGAAACAAGTAAAGTCCATTACAACTTTACCAATTATTTGTAGGAGAAATACAATGTCGAGATTAATAATTTAACAATTACTAGAGTGCTTGGACTACCTGTAGGGGAAAATCCAATAATAATCATGTTTCAAGAAAATAAATAATGCACTAAAATTGCATTGCCCATCTAGGGAAAACCGGATTAGCCTTGGTCTTCTAAAAAAAACTACCTCTGAATAGCTTCTTATAATTTTTCCCTAATAAACAGGTAGGTTTTTCTTGAAATTATCACTTCTGAATTAATTATTTACCTCCACTTAAACATAAGTATTTAAGTTATTCTTTTAACACCAACAAAATAATTCCGATTTAGCTCTGATACACACCGACAACAATGGCAAAGAAAATTTTCTTAATATTGTGTTTATATTTAAGTGATATCGAGGCCAGTTTTAATTTTTTGGTGCCACAAAAAGAAAGCAAGTGTCCTGAAAAGTATTTGTACCAAATTGACGAAAAAGGACAATTGTTCGGAGCCCTTAACTTGAAAGAATTTGGCAATGAAGAAGTATCGATACATGTTGAATTATTCTTAAGAGATTCAATTGACAAAACCGCAGGAAAAATAGAAAAATTAACAGGCAAGACATTTAAAGTAAATTTTCCAACATGGAAAAATATTTCGCCACAAATAGCCATCATACTTGTGAACGACAAGTTGATTTGTACCGACTTGGCGAACTACGACGAAGAAAGCGAATTGATAATTATTGAAGGTTCATTTAATATTACTGACGACAGTAAGGAAGCACCTTTACAAGTTTTACCTTTAGAAATCACCGAAGATAACCAATTAAGCAACGATAAAATGTATGGGGTATTCGAGATGTATCAGCAATTTAATACTGCAGACAACAAAGTTGTAAATGTGAAGAACAAAATTAGGTTTAAACCTAAAATGCCAAAGAAACCAAACAGAAACTATCCTTTGTTCGAAAGAAGGATACCCTATAAGTATAAACAACCTGTTGTTATGAAAAACCCTTCATTTAATCTTAGAGGATCGCCTGGAAAGAATGACATTGTTAAACCTGTTCCAGAAGGATTTGGCGAAGTAACCACTACTCCATATTCCGAAGTTTGCGGTAAACCGATTACAACAAATTCCCTTATAGTATCAGGCTTTAGCATTCCTAAAGGTGCTTATCCATGGCTTGTGGCTATATTCAGAGTACAGACGACAGGCCTTAACTACATATGCAGCGGCAGTTTGATTTCCAACAAGCATATAGTTACCGCCGCCCACTGTTTGTTTAAAGACAACCGTGTATCAAAGCCAGACGATTTTCTTGTTATCCTGGGAAAGCTAAACATTGCCAAATGGACGCCTACACCCGGCGAAGTCATTTTGGATGCGTCCAAATTGCACGTTCATCCTGATTATAATCCTGCGACAAGCGATGCCGACATAGCCGTTATCGAGCTTAGCGAAACCATACACTTTACGGCATTTGTCAGACCGATATGTTTGTGGAGCAACAATGATGACCTAAACAAAATAGTCGGAGATCAAGGTACAGTGGCGGGTTGGGGCAAAAACGAAAAAGGACACACATCCCCAGAACCGAAGCAAACCTGGCTGCCCGTCGTCGATCAAGAAACATGCTTAAGATCCGCACATGAGTTCGCATACATCACGTCGGAACGGACGTTTTGCGCCGGAATGAGGGACGGTTCGGGGCCGTGCAACGGGGATTCCGGAAGTGGTTTTATTTTGAAAAAAGACGGCGTTTGGATGCTCAGGGGCATTGTTTCCATGTCCCTTTCTGATATAAAAGCCAGAACGTGCGATTTGAGGCATTATATTGTATTTACCGATGCCAGTAAGTTTAATAGGTGGCTGTTAGGTTTTGTATTGAATAAAGAATGACAATAGGACTGTACTTAAAGATATTTATACAAATTAATATATTTATTACAATAAACTATTTATTAACAATAAAATTGTTTTTTTAACATTATAGTCTATACGGTCGATGGAAGGTTAGACATTTATGGAGGACGGCAAAAGGTATCGAATTAAAATTTTTATAGCTATATAATTTAAACTATTTTTCTAAATTTTGAACAAAATTCCTCTTTTTAACGAAAGCGATATTAACTTTTTTATTTTTAATGGATCACCACAATGTTTTTACATTTTTAAACTCACCATCATTCCTTATGAAATGGCTATATCATGTCCTATACCTAAACTTAATAGTTTTTGAGTTATTAATTTTTGTTATAAACAAAAAGCTTATAACTTTTTTATTTTTAACGAAACGCCCTGTGTATTTGATATTTTTTGATACAGACCGTAACGTGCGATTTGAGCCATTATATTGTGTTTACAAATGCCAGCAAGTTTAATGACGTAGTACTTATTATGCATATTTATTTCATGAATGAAACAAATTTCTCTTTATAGATTAGGCGGGAAAACACATACATATGGTAATATATAATTTTAGCATTTTAATAAATAATTATAACTATAATTAAACTATTTTGATACAGAGATGGCCAAAAATTAACGTCCTGACGACGTCACTCATCCTGTTTTTAACTCTCTGAGTATACTCAGAGAGTTACCTATAATTTATAGGCTATATAGCAATCATCATTGCATGATTTGATATGGATCGTCTCAAAATAGATTAATACGGACTATTTGTTTGGCTGATTTTTATTTAAAATTATTTATTTATTTAATACATTTTACAAACATATTTTTTACGTGCAAACTTAAAATTGTTTAATTAAAATGTTCTATAGAACTATATATGTTGTACAGTCCAACTGAAAATATTGATTTAGTTAAAAACATAAGTCTCTTAAAATACGCTATTTAAATATAAATTTGAAAATAATTTTACCTAACACCGAATTCAAGTGAAAAACAATCCTCAATTAGCAAAACAATCTAACAGTTTACCTTAAAATAAGTTAATCCCGCCTACCTGAGCTCACGACACAATAAGTACGTATTCATATAAGCAGACGCTAAATACTACGAGGCAGTACAAGACAAATAACAGTCGAGATGAAAAACTTTTTGATCTTTTTACTATTCATTAACGCAGTTGAACCTGCGCATTATTTAAGAAGGCGACCTCGTCATCTTGACGAAGAACTCGAGTGCAAGTGTGTGCCGTCAGATCAATGCGCAGACGACAATCTAGAAGCCACTGGCCAAGGCTTACTGGATATACGAATGGGTTACGGTGAATGCCCCCAGTATTTTGACGTTTGTTGTGAAAATCCCATATTGGAAGACGAGCAACAACAAGAAGACAGAGAGGAGGAAGGTGACAAGGAGTATTTCAAAGGTTGTGGATTTTCGAATCCATTGCCGATGATGAGGATAACTTCGGATTCGGTAAATTCAGTTTTTGGAGAATTACCTTGGTCGGTGCTGATTTTATTGAGAGAACCTAAAAGTGACAGGAACATGTATTTGTGCGGTGGTTCTCTTATACATCCTCAGGTGGTTTTAACGGCGGCCCATTGCGTTCAAGATGTCAGCATTGAACAATTTACTATCAGAGTAGGAGAGTGGAATACAAAATCGCAAGCGGAACCATTGCCGCATCAAGACAGAAAAGTTCAAGAAGTCTTAATACACCAACACTATAATTCCGGAACTTTAAGAAACGACATAGCTTTGTTATTCTTAAATGAACCTTTGGAATTTGCTGAAAACATCGGTATAATTTGTTTGCCTCAAAAAGACGTTAAACTGGATCAAACTAAATGCATAGCAGGTGGTTGGGGCAAGGACGCGTTTAAAAAAGGCAAACACTCGGCAATTCTTAAGAAAGTGGTGGTACCAATTGTGACAAGAAAAAAATGCGTGACATCGCTGCGTAACACCCGCCTAGGCTCCTACTACAATCTTCACAAGAGTTTTATATGTGCCGGCGGAGAGAAAAATAAGGACACCTGCAAAGGCGATGGAGGTAGTCCTTTAGTTTGTCCTGTTGACGGCGATGATAAGAGGTTTTTGCAGGTCGGTATCGTGTCCTGGGGAATCGGTTGCGGTGAAAATGACACACCCGGTGTATATGTAAACGTAGGAATATATACAGAGTGGATAGATAAGATTTTGGAGACCAAAGGTTTCGATACCAGTGTATATAAAATGTAGCCTTATATTTGGTGTTTATTGTATGTTTTGTAAATAAATATTTTAATAATAATTTATTTTTCTTACTACCAAATGCAATCACATTTCACGGTTTAAAATCACGAACTTCCACAGTATGTGTTTGAAATTAGTATTTTAGCATCTAGAAAATTTATATTAAATATTCTTTATTTAAGTAAAGGAAATACCGATTAACTATCTTTCATGTTTTTAGCTTTTTCTATTTACATTTAGATGGCGCTACTTACAAAATACTTCATATACTTACCACACAGATGGTATATATGAAATAACTATGAAATAATACATTAAATCTGTATTTTTTAATTTAAATGATGTAAACACCTTAAAAAATCAAATAAAGAAACATTTTAAACAAGGTTTTATAATTTGAATACATATGCACAAGCAATGCTGTTTTTGAGAAATGCGTAAAATATGTATTACAAAACTTATTTTTTCCAAAATAATAAATGATAATCTTGTGACCCTTTTTATTGATCAACTATTATAAGTTAAGTAAACTATATCTATTTAATTTAAACGGTAATTAATATTAGTTATAAATGGCATCTTTTATATGTAAATTGTTCAAAAAACCTGTGTTATTTTCATATTTTAACGGTAATGTAATAGTAAATAGTGTACCTATCTAGTTAATTGTGTATTTTCCTAAAAAAATATATATTAAAATTTAAATATATTGCTACCCGTAGGTGTTTAAAAATGCAAAATTCCCCTATTACAAATTGGCGGGAAATTGTAGTGTACACAATTCATAACCTCTACTATGTTTATTTAAGTATTTAATTGTTAATTTTGCTTTAATTTTTAGTATTATTTTTTGTAAAATGTTTTATTTAAAAATATCTAGTTTTTTAAGACTTCTCAAGGTGTTATTAAGATTACATTTTATACGTTTATTGCACATACCGTCGAAAAATGTATTTCAAAACAAGGAACAAATTCAGGAAAGTATGTAGTGTAATTAATAAAAATAATCAACAATAAATAACAAGAACAATAATAATTTTTATTTATTATAATTATTTCTGAGTCTTTAAATTTTAAATGTTTATGATTAATTTAATTTTTTTTTAAATTCATTTAATTAATTAATAAAATAATTATGTAGTGATTTGTAGTTCTATGTTTTAAGGTTCAGAATCAACGGTTAAGGGGTTACAATAAAAGCTAATATAGATAAATATATATGTATATATATTAGGGTGATTTTTTTTTCACGACAATTTTTATTTTTTCGCTCCCAACTCAAAATCTTGTTGAAAATGTTCAAAAAAAAAATTCCCTGAAAATTTGAGCCCTTAATATTAACTCAAAGTACTCGACCAAAGCGTATAAAGATTTCCTATTTAAAATACACGTAAACTTTGATTATTTTTTTTTTAATATCTATATCTCAGCCGCATTTTATGCTATTGGATTGTTTCAAAAAAGGATTTACTCGTAATCAAAAGTTCTACAAAAATGCTTTATGTGTCATAGCTGTAATCTGCACATGTAGGATGGTACGGGTCACTAAATCTTATTTTAGTGAAAAATTATCATATTTTTGAAGATATTTCAAAAGTGACTGGATTCTTTGAAAAAATGTAAAGAACAAACTTGTAGAAAATTTATTTTTTTTTAAAAAGGTCCTATCAGTTGAATCGCTAAGATTGATATTTCTTGAGATATAAAGCGTTTACATTGACAATTTATGAAATTTTTAGGATTTTCGTATCAAACTTTGTATAAATGATGATTTTCAATAGTTTATCAGTAAAATTTCATGTAATTACGTTTTTTCTACAGTCGGGTGATTAGAGAAAAATAAATAACTAAAACAATCAAGCATAATTATTAATAAAATAACATGTTGTATGTAGGTAATACAATCAATTTTTAGGTTAGATATATCTTTTCTTTAAAGTTATGATATTAATAATAATTATTATGCTAGATTGTTTGAGTTATTTATTTTTCTCTAATCACCCGACTGTAGAAAAAACGTAATTACATAAAATTTTACTGATAAACAATTGAAAATCATCATTTATACAAAGTTTGATACGAAAATCCTAAAAATTTTATAAATTGTCAATGTAAACGCTTTATATCTCAAGAAATATCAATCTTAGCGATTTAACTGATAGGACCTTTTTAAAAAAAAATTAAATTTTCTACAAGTTTGTTCTTTACATTTTTTTAAAGAATCCAGTCACTTTTGAAATATCTTCAAAAATATGATTATTTTTCACTAAAATAAGATTTAGTGACCCGTACCATCCTACATGTGCAGATTACAGCTATGGCACATAAAGCATTTTTGTTGAACTTTTGATTACGAGTAAATCCTTTTTTGAAACAATCCAATAGCATAAAATGCGGCTGAGATATAGATATTTAAAAAAATAATAATCAAAGTTTACGTGGATTTTAAATGGGAAATCTTTATACGCTTTGGTCGAGTACTTTGAGTTAATATTAAGGGCTCAAATTTTCAGGGAATTTTTTTTGAACATTTTCAACAAGATTTTGAGTTGGGAGCGAAAAAATAAAAATTGTCGTGAAAAAAAATCACCCTAATATATATATATATATATATATATATATATTCTTTGCCAATAATATTTTGCTTTGTTTTTATATTAATACAACTGTTATTTTTGCAATACTGATATACAAATATTTAAAATCATGATGCAATTTTCTTACATTTTTACCTTTAAATAAATAAAATTTAATTTGAAAAATATTTATCCATCAGTGACTTAACATGGATAACATTTGACCCTTACAATATATAGATATTTATTTCATAATATATTCCTACAGATATTTTTGTCAGTGCCAATAATTAACAGAACTTTTTAGAGACTGTATCAAGAAAAATGTCTTCCACAAGTGCCAGGGGACAGATTTTATCTGGAACAGAAATTGCCAAGTAAGATAAATTGTTACAAACTGACAAAATTTAAATAATTAAAAATAAATTTTTTTAGAGAAATAAAAGAACAATTAACCTTAGATGTGGCCAATATTAGACAAAAGTTACCACAATTTCAGCCAGGTTTGGCTATTGTACAAGTAGGGGGTAGAGAGGACTCAAATGTATATATTCGTATGAAAATAAAAGCAGCTTCTGAGATTGGTATCAAAGCTGAACATGTCAAGTTACCAAAGTCCACCACAGAAGTTGAAGTAGGTTAACTAAAAAAATATTTATACTTATACAGAGTGTTATTAAATATATCCAAGAATTCAGTAGTATTTTAAAAAGTTCATTCTAATTTATTTTTATGATACAGAATTTAAAGGTATAAATATAAATGTATTTCAAAGCTATATAAAGCTATATTTTAATGAAAAAAATATTTTTTCTAGGCAAAACCAATTACAAAATTAAGTTATACAGAGCAACAGTTCTCTTATTTTTGGGTTGGTAGTGTTAAAGAAACTAGATGAGGCAGAACATAATATACATATTATGTTATGCTATATCTAGTTTCTTTTGTACAACCAACACAAAAATAAGAGCAAACGTTTGCACGTTCAAGCAAAAGCTGATAAATCCACTTTTAGATTGTGATTCTCAATAATTTTGGTAAACTCCTTTGACCCAGCATTTTAAGTAAAAATTAAAATAGACAAACCTTAGATTTTAAAATTTTTTAATTATATGGGGGATTCTGCGTTCACATTTTTTTCCAATATCCCAGAATCGGTTATCGGCTTTTGCATGTTTGCAATAAACAGTTTGCTTCACATAATATTTACATATGTACTATACTATAAAATAAATATGTATATATTATGTACTTATAGTATCCTATAGTATTTTTTGTTTATAAAGGTCTTATTTTATAACACAAAAAATACTTAGGTATTTTATTATTTAATAAAAAGACAAATTTAGCGTTAAACTGACACATAATAACCTTTATTATTCGACTGCATTCCTTAATCAAATGGAACATTTCAAATGTCAAGTTTGATATGGAGCATGGTTCAGTACTATTAAATTAGCGTTAAACTGACAGATCCATAACCTCAATTATTTCACTGCATTCAAATGTAAAAGTGAGAATTTTTGATGTGGAGCATCAAAACTTGTTCTGATATATCTAGTTTCTTTAACATAACCAACCCAACAATAAGAAAATACAAGGTTTAAAGATAAAAAAATGAAAAATGAGGTTTTTATGGTTATTGTGTTGACCAAATATATCAGGTTTAAAATTGGTCTATTTGGCATGAAATGATCCATATATTTTTTGATTTTGTGTTTTTATTTTAATTTAATTAATTTTTTTAAGCTCTTGAATAAATTAAATAAACTAAATGCTGATCCAAATATCCATGGCATCATTGTACAGATGCCATTAGACAGTGATAATAAAATAGACTCCCACCTTATAACTGACAGTGTATGCCCTGAGAAGGATGTTGACGGGTAATTTTTTTTTTGTAAAATGTATAAAATTTTACAAAAAAATATTTTTAGTTTAAACACCATAAACGAAGGACGCACAGCCATCGGCGACCTTTCAAGTTTTGTTCCGTGCACCCCCAATGGAGTAATTGAACTGATCAAAAGATCTGGAATTAAAATAGCAGGCGCTGATGCCGTTGTTCTGGGCAGAAGTAAAATTGTTGGCACACCGGCCTCCGAATTGTTGAAATGGCATCACGCTACCGTCACGGTATGCCACTCGAAAACCAAAGATTTAAAACAACAGGTGAGATAACAAGTCATTAATTAGTGTATTATAAAAAATATAGTTTACGTAAAAATATTTAGTATTTCTCAATGGTTTTTTTTACAAATTAATGTAGCGATCAACCTGTAAACTAACTTCAAGCAATTTGTTGATTTATAAGTATAAAAATGTACCAAATTAGTTCATTGCTTGTTTTCTGTATTTTACAAATATTTTTAGTAAAAAAAAATGTTTACTATTTTAGTGTCTAAAAGCCGATATTTTGGTTGTTGGTATTGGGCAACCTGAACTAGTTAAAGGCGACTGGGTAAAACCTGGAGCAGTTGTTATCGATTGCGGAATTAATGCCATACCAGGTAAGAAAAAAATATTATTTTTTTCAAGCGTAGGTATAGCAATTTTCATATTATAAAACTCATAAGCGTATATAGAAATACTTAATTTTTGTATGCAGTTCAAAAGTCAAATTATTATACACCGCCGTACAATAATAATAAAGAGTGTTTCAATCTATCGCGTTTAGCATAAAATTATAGCTTAATGTAAAAAAAAATCATGTAAGTACACAATTATTAAACTCTTGAAAAAAAAGTATATACAAGACGGTGGAGAAATCATATTAACTGCCTCGCTCAGATTTACAGCCTCGGCTAAGGCCTTCGCAGCAAACACTGAGCTTGGCTTTAAATAAGCGCTTTATCCGCCTGTAAGATAATGTATATAACTTGTTGTGTTGTTGGGTGTATTTCGAGAGGAAATCCTGGGTTGAGTTTTTATCGGTTTTCCAATAAACAGTGTTAATCCGAATGAAGAAATAAATTTCATACAGTCCCTGTAAATATAAATTGTATCTATTAGATTATTGTATCTATCTATACACATTTTAGTAATGATTAACGTGAAAAGTGTAAACATTCCAATTCAGTAATAATCGTCAAACAAATAAGTCGTTCAAATTTAAACAGCATTTAGCATTATTAAAACCGTTGATTAAGAATTCTTTAAAGTCTCCAATCAACGGTAAAATACCATTATATTATAATATATATATATATATACATAATTATGTAAATTTTATATATAATATTGTTGCCATAAATTCGTAGGTATATTTTGTTGTTTAAAATGCAGTTGTCGGCGTTTTTTAGGAACTCAAATATAAAAATGGTTGATTTTAAGGTTAAGTTTGTGCAAACATTATTTTCTACTAATTTCTTAAAAATGTCCTAACTTAAATATAAATAATATAAGTTATTATTAGTTAATTCTGCTCCAACAAACGTACTTACCGAATTGGATCCTTTGGCAAAACATGAAAATGCAACGATTTAGTTCTTGAATTTTATTTACAATAATAACGTAACTATATAAGCATTTAAGCGTTGACTTTCTTAATCAATCATATAAAGAATAATCAATCGAAATCGAGTACTAAACCGGTTTTTTAGTTTTTTCCTTGCAACGTAAAACACAAATAACGTGCGCGATTTAGCTGTGCAATTGAGCAAAATTTGCCGAGTAAGACTTCTGTCTTCCTCTCTTTTGTGAAAAAACTTTCTATTTATTTAAAAATATACAGTTCGTATGCTTTAAATGTATTGTTGACAATTCTTAAATTCACGCAATGCTTTTGAAGTCCACCAGATGGCGCGCGCGTTGCGAAAACCCGTTCTTTAATTTTTTAAATAATTTTCACATTAAATATTTTTCAAAAATGTTCATTTTTATTACATTTTCTTTTAATTATTAAATATAATCTTGATGATATTTTTGATTTTTTAACTTGCCTTATTAGTCAAAACAATGCACATTTTATTTTTCATTTAGGTTAAACGTTTTTAGCAATTAATAATTAATTATTAATACATTGTGTTGTAAATAAGATTGATTTGATAAAATCTTTGTCAAAATTAATTAAATGTTATATTATATTATTTTAACTTTAAACATTTTATTTTTTGTCTTCTTTTCGCACGTGTCTGAAAAAAGACTTAAGCATAAATATCGGATTTAAAAAAAATTTTGCCATATTTAAAGCCTCCTTTAAGTATTTTATTTATTTTAAATAAATAGGTATTTCTAAAGTTTGTTTTAACAATTTTAATTAATCTACGGGTTTACAATAAACTATTTATTAAAATCATATTTTTTTAATCAATTTTAAAGTTTTATTTATTTATAATAAGTAGGTAGGTATTTCTCATTGTTTTTAAGATTCATTTTCTTAAATCTTTTTAAAAATTGCACTGTTTTTTGAAACGCCATTAGTCGCTTCGGTGTCTGAGACCGAAAGGTTAAAATTACGTTTATTAAATATCTTTCGTGTATATTTAAGTTTTTAAGAAAAACACTATGTTAAAATCTTTAAAACCAATGTTTTTAATAAACGAACATATCAAAATATCAATAAAAGAACAAAACAATACTATAATTCATCAGAAGAAATATTTTGTTCTGACTCGCTATTTTCTTGCCTTTCCTTTACGAAATATTCTTCATCGTTGTCTTCATAGTCATCAAACTTACTTTCATTTTCAGAATCTTTCTCTTTTTTGGAGTGTTTGTTGGTCGGCTTCGTAAGAATACATAGTTAAATTTTTAAAACCTTAATACTCGCATCGGTCTCTCGCACCGAAATAAATGGAAGCCGCTAAATCACACACATTCGCCAACGCTTTTAGACTTAAGTTCGAACGGGTAATGTAGTAAGGTACCTAGGAGGGGATAGCGCAAAGTCGATGCGCTAAAGAGGTACGTTAAAAAATTTAAAGCGTCGGTCTCACACACCGGGTGCGACTAATCAAGGGTTAAAAAACTTTGTAACTATTTCCTTATTACTTATGACTTTAAAAGCACTGTTCTTTAATTACTTAAACTAATATTTATCTTGGTCATTTGAATAATGAAGAAATTGTCAGCACAAAGAGTTGGAAATTTATATTATTTTTGTGTAATTAAAGAGCAAGGAAATGCGGCAGTATGAAGTTATGGCATCATCGTCTTGGTCTTCGTTTATATTTGCTGTCTGTCCAGTGTTGTAAATTCTTCGGGGTCTTCCTCTTCTGCCTGTTCTCTCTATCAGTGGTCTTCCTGGTTTTCGACGTAAAATTTGATGTGGTGCACAATTTTCTTCATTAATTTGTTTATTTTCAATTTTTTTATTTTCACTTTGTGCTTTAATTTGCATATGAACATATACAATATTATCTTCATTTTTATCAAAAATTGTATCTTCTTTCCCTTCATTTAAAAACTGATTTTTAAGGATTTGTACATCTTTAGCAACAACAACTTTTTTTCAATTGGTATCCATATTCGATATGCTTTTGATACCTTCTCTTGAACGCGGATACAATTTGGATTTTTCCAATTTTTTTCTAAAACAAACGCTTTCGCACCAAAAACTTTTAAATTACTTAAATCAAGTACTTCCTTATTCAAAACTTCAAATGGAGAATGACTATCTAAACTAGATGTTGGACACCTATTTCTTTTTACTCAATTTTCCCTGCGGTCTCGGCCCATAACCTGATAAATATTAGATTCCGTTCTCGTTTATAATTGAGAAGCGATCAGACAACACCAGACAAATACATTTAAGTGATTTGCAGAAATAAGTCAATAGAATTATTTTATTTTTGATTTCTCTATGCAAATCACCAAAATGAATTTGTCTGGTTTTGTCTGATCGCTCCTCAATTATTTATTATCAATCTCAATTACAGAAAATATGCCATCTTGATATAACAACTTAACAACAATAATAATTCTACGCCACGACAACGTAAATAAAGTAATAAAGTAAATAGTTAATATTAATAGAGAAATCACAAAGTGCTAAGATTTGAATTATGTTTATAAAAAATAAAGCAAAAATGCTAATCTGAAAATTTAAAAGAAATTGAATTAACGTTGGTCATCCCAAAATTACAAGGTTATAGTAATTTTATAATGATTATAAAAAATAATTGACATGGTTTAATAAAAAATTGTTATTATAATAATTATTGTTATAACTATATTATTTATTTTTAATTTACATACATATTCCATCTAAAAGCCTGTAAATTTAAAATTGCAAATTATTAAGCGATAAAATATTATTTTTTTTCTATTAGATGCATAAATAAAAAATTAAACCTAATAATACATATACCATAAAAGTATTGCCTGAATTTCAAACAAATACCAAACAGGTTAATATTTTATTTCATGTAATATTATACCTACCTTAGAATAAATTAGTTCTACTTATCCCTACCTAATAGGCAGAATAAATAAACACAATTTCACTATTATCTTTCTAGCGTAACGATTTAGTGCTTGTGTTTTGTAGGAAGGAAATGCCAAAGAAAAGCATGGAACAAGATGGTAATGTTAACGTTTAAATTTAATATTTAGTGTTTAGGAAAATTAAATAAAATCAAATACTAGAAAGTGTGTAATATTTTTATTTTGTTTTTAGTATAGATTTGTATAGCCTTTGCGCCCATATTACATGTTTGATAATATATGTTTACAATTACAGGTACTAATCTCGTGATTGCTATCACGGCCCTAAGTATAAAAATATCTATTTAATTTAAATATAAATATTAATTAACGTAATATAAAGATGCAAGAAAACTAATCCGTCCCTGGCCTACAGATAAGCATAGTGCAATGTCAAGTACAATAACATATCTCTTATTTATAAATACAAATAATTATAGTGACAATCTGCTTTGTAACATATCAGTAACATTTTCAGATCTAATTACTGGTATATCTCTTGCTTCAGTTATGATTTCAGAACCAATTCTGGGAGCTGTAATACTTAAAAATCCATTTGGCAAATATTTTGAAGCAAGTTTGGAAACATCGTACTCGTCTGGCAAAACTATCTTCCTAGTAAAACTCCTTGCTATAGTTCCATTTGATACTTCCTTTTCGTCGTGTTTTCCCTCAACAGTTATCGTGTTTTCATTGACAGTAACTGTGATTCCTTCCGGTTGAAAATCTTGAACAGCAATGAATAATTTGAAAGTATTGGGATCTTTATTAAATTCAATATCTTTTCCAAATCCCAGAATGTGTCGTAGGTGTTTTCCATGGTGTTTACCCATGTGTCTTCCTCCCATGTGTGGACCACATTCTAAATCCCCTCCGAATCGCATGTGTTTTCCGTGATGTGGTTTACCCATATGCGGTCCATGATGTTTACCTATGTGTTTTCCAAACATTCCACCGAAATCTATATCTTCTTCACAGCCCTGTTGATGCTTTCCACGATGGTATCCAAATTTTCCACCCATGTGATGGTGTTTTCCATGTTCTCCTCTTGTTTTCATGTGAGGGAAATCCATTTTCACTTTTACTTGATTGATTAACAACACGAACCGCAACGTAATGTGGCTGGTTAAGCAAAACCACTCGGTTATATAATAAATCGTAAATTGTGCAAAATTGCGCAATGTTGTGTAGCAGGATATTTATAGAAGTCAAGGTCATATTTACAAAGGGGTAATTATTTTTGTGTGAAATATATAATGGGTTTATAATAATAAAAATGTTAAAATTAATTAATATAACAAAATAACTACTTTAAAAACAAAAAGGTCAATAACCTACCAATACATTGTAGTTCACCTGTCAGGTTTCACAAAGAAATTATGTATACTTTTTATTTTAATAAAAATCTATTCTTGCTTAATAAATTTTCTATTTTTTAAATTAATTTCCTAAGGTTATCATTATATTTATTAAACTGATTATACTTACGTGTATCTCATGTCTCAAATCATTAAAGAAAATCTTTCATTACTAATATAATACTATAATAAAATATTTTAATAAAAAATCTATTCTTGCTTAATATATTTTCTATTTTTTAAATTAATTTCCTAAGGTTATCATTATTATAATGACATTATATTTATTAAACTGATTATACCTACGTGTATTCATGACTCAAATCATTAAAGAAAATCGTTCATTACTAATGAATCATTACAAAATTTTAATAGTGATATACAGTAACAACAAAACATGCCATATTTTTTTTTTACATTTTAGGCAGTTAGAGCAAATTGCGAGTTAGGTTATTTATGGCCTAAGCCGTAAATAGCTATTTACATACCATGGGAGGAAAATAGTGCTTTTCCTCCCGCGAATAGTTTGACCGACGCGAAGCGAAGGGCATTAAATATTCAAGGGAGGAAACGCATTTTCCTCCTGAGGTATGTATATTAGACTGGGCCAAAAAAATCGACTATTTTTTTTTGTAAAGTAGGTATATCGAAAATATTGTTTGGGGTTACTAAAAAAATTATGGTGAAAGTTTGAGTCCATAATATTAATGTTAGGAGGTCTATCATCGCAATTTTAGATTTTTTTCCTGAGCGAGTTTTTGTCTCAGAACTCCCAAACCATTGAGTTTAACAAATTTGACTTAAGAACATTTTTTTAAGAAAATTTAAGTTCTCTACAAAAAAGGTTAAAGTTGTGGGATGGTTACGATAGAAATCCCAGCTTAATTATGTGAATTTATTTGTAACAACTTAACAACACAACAACTTAACAGCGAATAATGTATAAAATATCAGGACTACAAATTGCGACGAGTGGCGTGTAAGTCGGCGTAGGTAAGACTGACCGAAGCGTCCCTTCTTCCCGGCTCAGCCACATCTTGCCAGATGCTGTGACACTCGACCTTTGGCCCGGGTTCGTCCATTTGCGGGCAAAGGGGTGTCTTGTCGCTTCTTGGTTTGGGCGAGTCGCCACACCACCCCCCTGCGGAGTGAAATTACTCATGGAGGAACTTCGGGAACCGGACCCTGCGTCCTGAGCGAGTGACGCGCTCCGGTGGCGCTGTGGATTCCGGGGCATGTGCTGAAGTAGGTTTTTCCTCCGTAGTAGGGGACGTTGTTGGCCTTGGTGCGGTTTGGTCAACCAAAATGTGGGCGGGTTTGACGCGGTCGATGGAGACTTTTGCTGCTTCTCCTCGGATTTTGAGCGTGATGGTTTTCTTGTCTCTCGCTAGCACTTCGTAGGGGCCGGTGTATGGCGGCTGCAAGGCTTTTCGTACGGAGTCCTTCCGGAGAAATGCGTGACTGCATGTTGCCAGGTCCTGAAAAACGAATGTGCCAGGTTGTGCATGACGGGAAGCTGGAGTGGGACGAATTTGGTTTGCGTGCCTGCGTAGTCGGGCAAGTAGACTAGTGGGATCTTCCGCATTGCTTGGGTCTTTTGGTGCGGAGAGCAGATCACCAGGAAGGCGAAGCGGCTCTCCATATACCAGCTCGGCTGCGGTGGCTTGAATGTCATCTTTAAAAGCGGAGCGTATTCCGAGCAGCACTAGGGGAAGTGCTTCGATCCAATCCTCTTCTGAGTGTGCCATGATGGCGGCCTTGAGCTGGCGGTGCAGGCGTTCGACTAGCCCGTTGGCGGCTGGGTGCCAGCTGGTTGTGTAGTGCAGCTCGATGCCGTGTCGCTTTGCCATGGTTCTGAAGAGGTGGGAGGTGAATTGTGTGCCTCTGTCTGTCGTGAGCTTGTCGGGGCGTCCAAAGCGGGATGTCCAGCATGACAGAAACGCATGCGTGACGGATTCTGCGGTGATGCATGTCAGGGGATATACCTCAGGCCATCGTGTGTAACGGTCAATAACTGTCAAACAGTACCTGTAAGATCGAGCTATTGGAAGTGGTCCGATGATGTCGGCATGTACGTGTGAAAATCGCTTTGAGGGTGTTTTAAAGGTTCCCAGGGGCGCCGCGACGTGGCGGGTGATCTTCGAACGTTGGCACGGAATGCATGCTCGGGCCCAAGCTCGGCAGTCCTTCCGCATTGAAGGCCAGACGAAACGTGCTCCGACAAGTTTGGCGGTTGCCTTTACTCCTGGGTGGCTGAGGTTATGCAGTTGCTCGAATACGCGGCGTCGGAACGGGGCTGTGATGAATGGCCGCGGTGTGCCTGTTGACGTGTCGCAGTAAATGGATACTGATAGACCTGGGATGGGCATTTTTTTGATGCGGAGGGATGAATCTTGTTGGATTGTCCTTATTTCTTCGTCGCATTCCTGAGCGGCAGCGAGGGCTTGGTAGTCGATTGGGGTGGAGACCATTTCCACGCGGGAGAGGGTGTCGGCGACGACGTTTTGCGAGCCGCTGATGTGTTGGATGTCTGTGGTGAACTCGGAGATGAAGGAAAGTTGGTTGAGCTGTACTGGGGGCAGCTTCTCCCGCCGTTGCAGGAACGCATAAGTGATTGGTTTATGGTCCGTGAATATGGTGCAGGGGCCCGCTTCAAGGAAGTGGCGAAAGTGCTGCACCGATTCGTATATGGCGAGGAGTTCCCGGTGGTAGGCCGGCCAACCGCATTGCTTCGGCGACATCTTCTTCGAAAAATACGCGAGCGGCTCCCAGTTGTTGTTTATCAGCTGTTGTAAGCAGGAACCAATTGACAGGCTGGATGCGTCGGTGAATAGTCCTAGGGGTGCATCCTGCCGGGGGTGCACGAGTAGGGTGGCGCTCGCTAGGCTGTTCTTGCAGGCCTGAAATGCGTCCTCCAGCTGTGGGGTCCATGGTACTGGCTGTGAACCTTTGGTTTTGGGGCCGCTAAGGAGAGCGTGTAGGGGCGCTTGAAGTTCGGCTGTATGGGACAGGAACCTTCTGTAGAAGTTGATCATTCCCAGGAACCGGCGTAGGCCCTGAATGGACTTGGGTAGAGGGTACTCCTGAAGGGCTGCCACGCGCTCTTGGGGTGGGCGCGTTCCGTCCGCTGTGATGATGTAGCCAAGGAACTTTACCTCCGGGACGCCTAAAACACACTTTATTGAATTTATAATTACCCCGTAATCCGATAGTCGCTGGAACAAAGTGCGTAGGTGGTGTTCGTGCTCTTCGGTGGACCTGGAGAACACCAAGATGTCGTCTACGTATGCAAAGCAGAAGTCCAGTCCGTGTATTACTTCGTCAATAAATCGTTGGAAAGTTTGGCCAGCGTTGCGTAGGCCGAATGTCATAAATGGAAATTCAAAAAGGCCAAACGGAGTCGTAATCGCTGTCTTGCTGATGTCGTCGGGATTGACTGGAATTTGCTGGTAGGCTTTGACTAGATCTATTGTTGAGAAAACTTTGCATCCTGCTAGGTCGTGTGCGAAGTCGTGGATGTGGCGCACAGGGTAGCGGTCCGGGATGGTCCGGGCATTCAATGCGCGGTAGTCACCGCATGGGCGCCATCCGTTCTCTCCTTTGGGCGCCAGGTGCAGGGGTGACGACCAGGGGCTCTCTGACGGGCGGGCGGTGCCGAGTCTAACCATGTCGGCAAACTCCTCCTTAGCGATGCGCAGCTTTTGCGGTGCCAGTCGTCGAGGCCGGAAGGCTACCGGTGGTCCTGGCGCGGTGCGGATGTGGTGCGTGGTTTTGTGTTTAACCTCTCTGGGCAGGCCGGCGGGGCGTGTAATACTGGGAAACTCAGCAAGGATGGAAGACAGCGGGGACGTCCTTGCGACGGCCTTGATGCTGTCCTGTTGAGCGAGTGCGAGTTGTCCGGTTGCGTGGAGGCCTGTGGTGACGTCCAGTAGGCGCTTGGATCGGCAGTCGGGTAGCAGGTGATAGTAGGCTAAAAAATCAGAACCAATTATAGGTGTACTTACGTCGGCCACGATGAATCTCCAAAGAAAGCTGCGCCGGAGTCCGAGGTTCAGTGAAAGGGGTAGAAAACCGTAAGTTTTAATCGTCGTATTATTGGCCGCGCTGAGGTCGTAGTCGGTGGCCGCCCGCCGCTCGCGGAGCATGTGGCGGGGGAAACATGACAGGTCCGAACCGGTGTCCACCAGGAAACGGTGCTTCGTAACGCTGTCGGTGACGAAAAGGCGGCTTCCGGGTGCTGGGCAGTCTGTTGCCGCTGTTACTGACTGCCTTTGGGGTTTTCCGAATATCCACATGGCGGTGTGCATCTCTTGGCCTGCTCACGGAACTTCGAATGGTACCAGCACCAGCGCGTTGCGTCCGAGCGTGCTGCTGATTGTCCCCTGGATGGCGTACGCACGCGGCTGCGGGGGCGTGCGCGTTGGTTGCCCGTAGTTGCGAGCTCGGCCACTTGCCTGGTCAGCGCCAAGATGGCGTTTAGCACCGTAGCGTCATTTTGGTTGGCGTCGCTTGGAGCAGCGTTGGCGGCGGAGGCCGCGTTAACGGCGAAGGGTGGGGGAGGTGGTGCGACTTCCACAATTTTATCTGCCAGCTCGGCGAGCTTGTCAAGCGCGAAGTCTGCCTGCGCTGTTAGAATAGCCTGAACGTTGGAAGGTAAACGCCGGAGCCACAGCTGGCGAAGCAGGTTGTCCTGGAGCGCGCTCGTACCGGCAAGAGAGCGAAGGTGACGCAGAAACTGCGAGGGCTTGCGGTCACCGAGCTCCTCTTCGCTAACGAGCTGGCGTACTCGTTGCTCCTCGGAGGCCGATAGACGTTCGATGAGCTTAGTACGTAAAAATTGATACCTGTTTTCAGCTGGCGGATCGTCTATTATGTCCTCCACCTCGGCCGCATAGCGCGTGTCCAGCTGGGCCACGACGTAGTGGAACTTTGTCGCCTCGTTGATAATCCCAGATATAGTAAATTGGGAGTCCGCCTGGGCAAACCATAGTTTTGGCCTGTCCGCCCAAAATGGCGGCAATTTGACGGCCACCCGGTTGACGGATGGCGTGTGGCGTACCCCACCGGCGAGTGGGTTATCAGCCGGTGCGTCACCGGCGCGATTTTCCCGCGATTGCTGCGCCATTTGTTGGGCCAATCGCGTGTTCTCCTCTTGTAAGGCCTGGAGTTGAGTTCTGAGCTCCTCTGCAGACATTTCCGGTGCGTGTGTAGACGGGCGCGTTGAAACAAACTTCACAAACACTGTATCACTATATCACGTCGGGGTCACCAATGTGGGATGGTTACGATAGAAATCCCAGCTTAATTATGTGAATTTATTTGTAACAACTTAACAACACAACAACTTAACAGCGAATAATGTATAAAATATCAGGACTACAAATTGCGACGAGTGGCGTGTAAGTCGGCGTAGGTAAGACTGACCGAAGCGTCCCTTCTTCCCGGCTCAGCCACATCTTGCCAGATGCTGTGACACTCGACCTTTGGCCCGGGTTCGTCCATTTGCGGGCAAAGGGGTGTCTTGTCGCTTCTTGGTTTGGGCGAGTCGCCACAAAGTCAAATTTTCCGTCAGATGAACCATTTCCTTAAATTTGAAGTCAAAACGAAATTTTAACCTTGAATAACTTTTGATTGAGTGAATTTAGCCAAAAATGTTGAGAGGCTTTTTTTGTAAAGCATTTGATTTCACATAAGAATATTTATCGGTTTTTTATGGGTACTGATTTTTTACATGAATTACAAAATTCCAATTTAAACGATCAAAATGTAAAACTATACCAATTTTTAATAACTTTTAATGGAGTGAATTTAGCTAAAAATGATAAAAGACTTGTTTTGTAGAGCATTTTATTTCCCATAAGAATATTTATCGTTTTTTTACCGGGTACTGGTTTTTACATGAATTACAAAATTCCAAGTTAAAATATCAAATTGTAAAACTATATAAATATTTTTAAGTCAAATTTGTTAAACTCAATGGTTTGGAAGTTCTGAGACAAAAACTCGCTCAGGAAAAAAAAATCTAAATATTAATATTATGGACTCAAACTTTCACCATAATTTTTTTGTCACCCCAAACAATATTTTCGATATACTTTACAACAACAAAAATAGTCGATTTTTTTGGCCCAGTCTAATGTATATAGTTTTTTCTATTACCTTTTAACGGTTTTAAGACATTTTAAGCGTTCCGGTTCCTTTTACTAACCCGGTATGGGGCTATAAAATAATGACAAAATATTAAGTAGGTGTTGCGTCGCCGAAGTTATGTTGACAACGCTTTGTTGCTATGGTATTTTTGGTAATTACCATTAATACAAACATATCAGTTTTTATAAGCTGTCATAAATTTAAAAATCTTCCTACGTTTTGAAAATGAGTTCTAGCGCAAGATCTTGCTAAAAAGGCAAGAATAGTTGCAATTAATTTCCTTCCTTAAAAATCGAAAGAGCGATATGAAAATGAATATAGTTTGTTAAAAGAATGGTTGGACAAGCTCGGAGTATCCACTCATAAATATTTCCTACCAAATCAAATAGGGCTAGACAAGGTACAAAAACTCTTGCTAATGTAAAATTGTTAAAAAAAAGAGGGAGGATTTTTTTTCCTCCCGGAGAGGAAATAGGCATTTTCCTCCCTCGCTCGGGGGTGGAAAATTAAGTTTTCTAGTAAGGTAGTAGAAAAAATTCTTTATTTGCTACTTTGGACCAGTCAAAAAATAGGACTTCTGTCAGATCTATCACGTCTTTACTTTTAATGATAATTAACAATTGTACGTTTCATGTATCGTTTAACAAATAAAATTGTGCATTGAAGATAAAATGTTGGATGCATTTGGCCAAGAAGTGTCTTTTTGTGCTAGCTCAATCGTAGGATTACGTCAGCCTTCAAACTTGCTCTTGTTTAAAATGGTACAATTTATTTTTACACCAAAGTTATAACTGACATAAATAATAATAAAATATGACAGATGTTTATAACCATATCAACAGCTATTAGTTGTAGATTATCTTAACTTTGTTGTTCTTAAATCTTAAAAAAAACGACCAACTATCAGTTAATTTTGGGACACCATGTACTATGTATAATAATATATATTTAACACAATTATTTAAACATATAACATATAATAGTACATTATAGACCAGGCGGAGAAAGCACATATTATCGTCAAGCATTCATTTGACTGCCGAGGCGATAGCCGAAGCAGTAGATTGTGTGCGAGGCTAATTGTCTTAAGCTTTCGCCGCCGTGTTTAATATACTTTTTTTTCAAGCATTTAATTAAATAATTTCTTAAGATTCTGTCAAATCATTTTAAGATACTCACATCATTTTTAGGTAAGGTCAACTGACATTTTAGCTTTTTTGTAGAGATGGGAATCGGAAAGTTTCCATTTTAAGGAAACTTTCCGCTTTGGAAAAAAAAAGGTAAACAAAATAAAAACAATAAACAAAGTTAAAATCATTCTTACATTTTTGTTGTTTATTTATAGGCATAGCACAATGCCAAGAAAAAAATCTAGTGTTTGGAATTATTTTTTACTTTTCAATATTCCTATATATTAGTTACTTTGTCCCTTTTAATTTTTTTTACGTAATATCTAGGATTTACTAGCAGTGAATTTCTAATAGTAAACATTTTATTTTTATTTTGTAGGTTTCAGTATACAATAGGAATATTCCAAAGTAAAAGATACTAAAAATAGTATTGCAGTTACATTCTTATAAACATTTTTTTATTTTTTTTCTTAATAAAATTTGACAAAAAGTTAATGTTATATATTTTTGCAAATCCCTGGCATAAAAAAAAATATTTTCGCAATAAAAAAATTTTTTTTGAAACTTTCGGAAAATTTTGAGAATTTTCGATGGAAAGTTTCCGGGAATTTTCGTCAAATGGGAATTTTCCCATCTTTACTTTTTTGTGCGGAGTTTAATAATAATTTGACTTTTGAACTAGTATTAATATGATTTCTTTCTAGATAGACTTATGAGACTTATAATATAAAAATTTTCAAATTTTAAGAAAAATTGCGTTTTTGGGTTTTTATCATCTGTTGTAGATACTCTTTTACAGGGTGTAACTAAAATTACTTTTTAAAGTTACATGCGAATTAATGAACAACACGTTTTTAGTAAAATATAAAAGTTTTCTTCATAATAAAGCAAATTTTTAATATTGTGATATTAATACTAGTTCAAAAGTCAAATTATTATTAAACTCTGCACAAAAAAGCTGAAATGTCAGTCAGAATTCGTGAGATCAGCAATGCTCAAACTACATTTTTATCGAAATATTATTTCGATAAAAATGTAGTTTGAGCATTGCTGATCTCACGAATTCTGACTGACATTTCAGCTTTTTTGTGCAGAGTTTAATAATAATTTGACTTTTGAACTAGTATTAATATCACAATATTAAAAATTTGCTTTAACATAACCTTTTTAAGTAATTTCTGGACTTAAGTCCCTAGGAACTATATTTTTTTTTTTACTTCTCTGTTCCATATATCAACCTTCGTAAAGTTTAGCCAAGCATTTTAATTACTCCATGTATAGCGAAACAAATAATTTTAAACTGAAAAAAGTCCATAAGAGTACTTTTTTTATATTTAAAAAATGATGTCGAGAATTGTATCACAATAATTAGACACATTTTAAAACAAAATAGCGTATTATTTTGCTTATATTATATTTAAATTTTACAATATTTAAATCAAATTAAATAAAATGTTTATTTTCAGACTCAACCAAAAAATCTGGCCAACGCTTGGTCGGAGATGTGGCCTACGAAGAAGCCAAGAAAAACGCTTCCTACATCACCCCTGTACCTGGTGGTGTGGGACCAATGACAGTTGCCATGTTAATGAAAAATACCGTACAAAGCGCCCAATTATCGGCCGACAAGATTTTAAACACCAAGTGGAACCTGAGGCATTTACCTTTGAGATTGCAAAATCCCGTGCCCAGCGATATTGCCATTTCCAGGGCACAAGAACCCAAGAACATCATGCAATTGGCCGAAGAAATTGGATTGTATGGTGGAGAGGTTTCCCCTTATGGTAGCAAGAAGGCTAAGGTGTCCTTGAGTGTTTTGGAAAGGCTTAAGAATAACAAAAATGGCAAATATGTGGTTGTAACAGCGTTAGTTAAACAAAAAAACATTTAATTTTGAACTAAATAATTATTTTTTTAGAATTACTCCAACTCCATTTGGTGAAGGAAAAAGTACCACTCTTTTGGGTTTGGTGCAAGCTTTATCCAGTCAATTGCACAAAAACGTATTTGCTACTCTAAGGCAGCCTTCTCAAGGTCCCACATTTGGAATTAAAGGTAAAATAAAAAAAACCATTTTAGCCCCCAGCCAGTTAAACATAAGTTTTAAAAATAGTGTAAAAATGTTCTTTACAAACTAGCGGAAAAAGTTTATACTAATTTTAGAGGAGAAAGGAAATAACAGGCGCACAAACGGAGAATGTTTAGCGCGTTTACATGCAAAATATTCAAGGAAAAATGCGGAAAATTACTTCTGACTTCATTAAAATTAAAGAGCAGTTTTTTATAAATCAATAAGGATCATAATACATAAATCTATTTTGGACGCTTAGATCCCTTTTTTTTCGGAGCGTGTTACATATACTTTTTTTTTAACATTTTTTAACACGATTTTAACGTCTCCATTATATTTTTCGTGCATAAAGTAGTAACATTTGGTGGTTTTACCTATATTTGACAAAAAAATATGTTGTTTTTTCATTTAAATATTTTTATTTTTTTTTGTAATTAAACAATAAAAATAATAAAATTATTTTAAAACCGTTCGTTAATTGTTTTACATAGTTTGTATTTTTAAATACTGCAAAGTATGTAAGTGTAAAATTTTAAATTTAAGAACTCCTGTTTGTATACTGTACATACATGTCGTGTATAATAATTATCCACTCATAAAGATTTCTTATTAACATTAGGTGGCGCTGCTGGAGGCGGATACTCTCAAGTAATTCCAATGGAAGACATGAACCTTCATTTGACAGGCGATATCCACGCCATAACAGCCGCAAACAATTTATTGGCCGCTCAATTGGACGCCCGTATCTTCCACGAAGCCACGCAGGCAGATAAGGCTCTATTTGACCGTTTGGTACCCGTTATTAAAGGCGAAAGAAAATTTTCACCCATTCAATTGAGAAGATTGCTAAGATTGGGCATCAACAAGACCGATCCAAACGCTTTGACTGAAGAGGAGAAAACTAAATTCGCTAGGCTTAACATCGACTCCAACAATGTTACCTGGGATAGAGTTTTGGATATTAACGATAGATACCTTCGTGAAATCACCGTTGGACAATCACCAACCGAAAAGGGATTGACAAGGAAAACCGGTTTTACCATCAGCGTTGCCAGTGAGATTATGGCCATCCTCGCCTTGGCAACCGATTTGAAGGACTTTAAGCACAGGCTTTCCAAAATGATTGTTGCTTTTGATAAGTCCGGCAACCCTGTAACAGCCGATGATTTGGGCATGACGGGGGCTTTGATGGTGCTTCTTTTGGATACTGTACAACCCACGTTGTTGCAAACTTTGGAGGGATCTCCTGTATTTGTCCACGCTGGACCTTTCGCTAATATTGCGCACGGTTCAAATTCCATCATAGCCGATAAAATAGCCATGAAGTTGGTTGGAGAAAATGGTTTTGTAGTAACCGAATGTGGATTCTCCTCCGATATAGGAATGGAGAAGTTCTTCAACATCAAATGCAGAACTTCGGGGGATGTTCCCAATGCTGTAGTGCTGGTGGCCACTGTAAGAGCATTGAAAATGCATGGTGGCGGCCCTACAGTAACACAGGGTGCTCCATTACCAGAAGAATACACCCAGGAAAACGTGGAGTTGCTCAGAAAAGGACTACCAAATATGTTGCAACACATTAGTAATGCTACCAAATATGGTGTACCAGTAGTAGTGGCCATAAATCACAGAGAGTAAGTGTCCAAAAGCAATAAAATCCTAATGATTTCGACAAAAAATATTTTTAGCGGTGACACTGATGCAGAAGTGCAACTTATAGCAGAAGAGGCCATAAAAGCTGGAGCTTTTAACGCAGTAGTTTCAAGACACTGGGCTCAAGGTGGACTTGGGGCTAAGGCCCTTGCTGAAGCTGTGGTAAAGGCTTCCGAGAAACCAAGTAATTTTAAATTCCTGTATGACTTAAATTTAAGTTTAGAGGAAAAAGCCAACACAATTGCCAAAGAAATGTATGGTGCCGGTAAAGTTACATTCAACGAAAAAGCTGCTGGTAAATTGAAAAAATATCAAGAACAAGTAAATATATCTGCATTAAAATTGCGCATTTAATAATATTGATTTGATTTTAAGGGTTATGGAAAACTACCAATTTGTATGGCCAAAACACAATCTTCCTTGACAGGAGACCCAAAAATTAAAGGTGCCCCTAAAGGCTTCACCATAGATATTTTTGATGTATCTATTTCCGCTGGTGCTGAATTCGTTATTATGATGGCTGGAGAGGTAATTTTTAATTAAAAATAATGAAATACAAACGTTTCATTATTTATTTTTAGATCAACAAAATGCCTGGATTACCTACTAGACCAGCAATTTACGATATTGACGTGGATACAGAAACCGGCGAAATAAGTGGACTATTTTAAATGTTCATTTAAAAAGTTACGTGTGATTTTTATAAAATAAAATTTATATTTGAGATAAATTTGTTTTTATTGTTCTTCCAGAAAACCCAAAACAACCCTGTATTAATTACACTTTTTTGTTTCACATGCCATTAATTATTTATGCAAAGTAATAAAACAATATAATAAATTAGAATTTTTGTAGCCTTTTTATTTAAGCAATCTAATAACCTATAACATAAAAAACATGTATTTGTCAAAATAGAAGTCAAATTTAAAAAACAATCAATTTTAATTTAAAGGCAGAAAATAGTACGGGTTTGTACATAAGTTTTTAATTATTAATTTGGTTAAGGTATTTTGTTTTCAAAGAAAACATTAAAAAATTCCCTGTAACACTTTTGCAAATATTTTGGATATTGAAATTTTATGTTAATTTCATAACCTGTTTTGTAATAATCAAATTGCGCTAGTTTTATCTTATATTTCAAAATATTTAACATTAAAGTCGAAATAGTATTTATTGATGTTTGTATAATACAATAAAATTAGTGATCTAAAAACAATTTTATCAATAGTCGTGCGGTTGCTAGTTTAAGCAATAACATACATTTTTAGATTAGTGTTCACGAAACTATTGTTTGAATAAAAATGTTGGTAAAAAAATACGTTTTCGTTTTAAATAAAACATCCATGAGATGTTTAAGTACGGCTATGCCATCTGAAAAATGGAAATTAAAGAGTCTTCCTTTAAATATTCAGAACCCTGTACCCAGGTAAGCTTTAGATAAAATGTTTTAGTGGGTTATTTATAGCTCATTGATGTTTTAGCGACATCGAAATATCTCGTGGTCAAAAACCTAAAAATATAGCCAAACTCGCAGAAGAAATAGGTCTAACGGAAGACGAATATTCATTGTATGGTAAAAGAAAAGCCAAAGTGGCCTTATCAGTTTTAGAAAGGTTTCAGGATAGAAAGAATGGAAAATATGTTGTTGTTACAGCGTAAGTTTAGAAAATTACTTAAAAGATTTAATCCTCTATACATTTACTTTAGCATAACTCCAACACCTTTTGGGGAAGGAAAGAGTACTACATTGTTAGGTTTGGTACAAGCCCTATCAAGTCAGCTCAATAAAAATGCGTTTGCCACTTTAAGACAACCTTCCCAAGGACCAACATTCGGAATTAAAGGTATAAAATATAAAATTATCCTATAATAATAACTTAAACCAAAATTAAGGTGGGGCAGCTGGTGGAGGATATGCCCAAGTAATTCCAATGGAGGACATGAATTTACATTTGACTGGAGATATACACGCCATCACTGCAGCAAATAATTTGCTGGCTGCTCAATTGGATGCCAGAATTTTTCACGAAGCGACTCAAAATGACAAGAATTTATACAACCGCTTGGTGCCCAAGATAAAAGGTGTTAGGAAGTTTTCGAAAATACAGTTGAGGAGACTAGAGAGACTTTGTATTAATAAGACTGATCCCAATGAGTTAAACGAGGAGGAACAAGCTAAATTTGCTAGGCTGAATATTGATGTAAACCAAATTACATGGAATAGAGGCAAGCATAAAAAATAAATATTATTTCCTATCATAGAATCCGATCCATAGTTGCACAAGCACAATTTAAATATGAAAATCTAGAAATGTTGGTAAAACAATGTAATACATACTATGTTGTTTTTATAGTTTTAGATATAAATGACCGGTACCTAAGACAAATAACCATAGGTGAGTCTCCTACAGAAAAGGGAATCATTCGTAAAACAGGGTTTACTATTAGCGTGGCCAGTGAAATAATGGCTATCCTGGCTTTAGCAAAAGACCGCATCGACTTCAAAGCAAGACTATCTAGAATGATTGTCTCTTTCGATAAAAGTGGCAAGCCAGTAACAGCGGACGATTTAGGAATGACTGGGGCCTTAATGGCACTACTTTTGGACACCATAGAACCGACTTTACTGCAAACCATAGAAGGATCGCCGGTATTCGTACACGCTGGTCCTTTCGCCAACATAGCGCACGGTTCTAACTCCATTATAGCAGACAAGATAGCTCTGAAATTGGTGGGAGAAAATGGTTTTGTGGTCACTGAATGTGGTTTCTCCTCCGATATTGGCATGGAAAAATTCTTTAACATAAAATGCAGGGCGTCCGGCGATATCCCTGATGCGGTAGTGTTGGTTACCACGATAAGAGCTCTGAAAATGCATGGTGGTGGTCCGAAAGTATCGCCTGGTGCGCCTTTGCCGACTGAATACGCCCAGGAAAATTTGGAGTTGGTTAAACAAGGTTGCCAAAACTTAAAAAGACACATTAACAATGTCACAAAGTATGGAATTCCAGTAGTAGTAGCAATAAACCATATTACGTAAGTAAAACAAATAACAAAGATTAATGGTACCGAACCTTGCAAAACGCATTTATTTTAGAAACGACACCGATGCCGAAATAAATCTTGTTATCACAGAATCTAGAAAATCGGGCGCATTTGATGCCGTAGTTTCCAAACATTGGGCACAAGGTGGAGGTGGTTCTGTAGATTTAGCTGAAGCTGTGGTGGACGCGTGCGAGGAACCGAAAAATTTCAAATATTTATACGATTTAAACCTACCGTTAGATGAAAAGGTTTCCGTTATTGCCAAAGAAATGTACGGAGCTGGAAAAGTTACCTTTTCCTATAAGGCACTCGAAAAATTAAGGAAATATGAAGAACAAGTATTATTAATTCATTGTCCATTATATCAAGTGGTCCATAATGTTGTAATGTTAGCATACAGCGTATTCCGCTCGAGTGAAAAGTTTTACACGAGCTGAAGGCGAGTTTGACGGTTTCATGAGCGGAATATGCAATTCCAAATGTGTACTTTTTCTACGTCTCCAAAAAATACCATAGAAAAATAATTTAATTATGAGAAAGTAAGGTTAGATCGGTCTAAAAGTTGTTAAATAATAAACACAGAGATGGCGCCACCAGTGTGAATTCCGTCATCCTATGATAGAATAATTCATTCTGTAACACTTAAAGAAATATAAGTAATTCCACATTAAAAAGTGATTTTAAAACGGTCATATTCCGTAATAGGAATAGTCGACTATGAAAATGATCATTTCATACGAATAACATCTTCCATATGTGAACCACGTTGCCAATACTCTTTAAAAGAGGACATTTCTAAATACTTTCTTTTAATAGGACTATCGTGACTGCTTTGTCGTTGTAAACCTGACTAAACATCTAAACGCGACATGTGCGTTTTAATATGAGTTTTAAAAAATTTAAATTAAACAATTGTTTTGAAAAATATTTGTAAGAAGATGGTTCATATCATAGATATAACTATAAAGTATATACATTATGAAAACTGACCTTTTTTATATAACAAATTTAATATTATTTGTATGAAAAATACTTTAATGGGATTTAAAAAAATCGAAATGATTTTTTGTTGTAAATTTGTTTAAAACTGCTTAACATTATGGACTACCCGATAAAAGAAACATATTTAAAAAAATGTATTTTAGGGTTTTGGAAACTTCCCCATATGTATGGCTAAAACACCACTTTCTTTAACTGGTGACCCCTCCATAAAGGGGGCCCCAGAAGGATTTAACTTGGACATTAATGATGCTTCAATTTCTGCAGGTGCAGAATTTATTGTAGTACTTGTTGGAGAGGTAATATTTAATTAATTATAACAAACACACAGGCTGTTTTTACACACTGTGCTAATAGAAATATAGTAATTTTAGAGGTGTCCCTAAACTTATTGGCATAAATTTAGAAAAGGATTGAGCAAGTAAAATAAGACGAAAACTTAAATAAATATTTTTCCTATTTACTTATGTTTCCAAGATACAGGGTGATAAAGTTTTTTTTTAATATAACTTCTACTAGTGGCGGCTGGTGGATTTTATGTATACCAATATCTCAGTTATTAGACATGGGACCCACACCAAATTTATAATATAGTTTATAATGACATTAATAATGACATTAAATAAACAAGTTCGGCGCAAACAGATTTTAAATTGAAGTTTGCGAAAAAAAGTTAGTTTTTCTTGTCGCCTCACCCGCCTCCAACCTCAAAGTTTGTATGGGACAAAAAGCTTAAACCAACCCCCGTTTCTACGACACTGTGTCCACTCGAACAATTGTAATTATGTGTGAATATGTGTTTTGTTAGTAAGTGACTGTTCGCAAAATATCACCTTTCCAAGTCTACCATAGTAGAAATTATATTAAAAAAACTGATATGATAAGTAACACTTTATCACCCTGTATCTTTTAAACATACGTAATTAAGAAAAATATTTATTTAGATTTTCGTCTTATTTTGACTTGCTTAATCTGGTCCTAAATTTATGCCACTAAGTTTAGGGACACCTTGTATAAATAAGACACTTTAATAAAGGACTAAAAAGTTTCTCGCACACAATATACTGCCTCGGCTAGCGCCTTCCCAAGTAGCATTTATAGTGGTAAAAACATGTTGGCCACTTTTACTTGGAACTGTAAAGTATATTGCCAAAATCCCTACCACGTGGTAGAAACGGTTCTATTACGTGGAAGTGACTAAAATGGGGAACACTTTTTTAGTGTCTGTTACGTTTCAACAACGTTTTTGAATTGTATACAGACACGTTAATACCACGTTGTGATTACGTTACTATAACGTGGAGGTATAGTTGCCAAAACTTTACTAATCTTTACTTTCTATCCTTGTCTCTTTCCAGCATATTATTTATTTTATTTATTTGATGTGGAAACAAACCTAATAGGTTATCTAATAGTTATCTTTGCTTTCTCTGACTGGATATTTAACTAACACTGAATTATAATATTGTAAGAGTACCTACAACTTGCAAATAATAACTAGAATTAAAATAATTCAAAGACATAAAATTAACACGAATTAAATTTTTAACAGTAAAATTTAATTCGTGTTAATTTTATGTCTTTGAATTATTTTAACATGGGTTTCATAGCTTGAAATATAAGCACACCCTGTTGAAATATGTGGTAATAAAAAAATCTATAAATTTTGCGGATATGAAAATTATTTATCTAGAGGCCTAAAATATTTTTTTTATTATTTCTGGTCACCTAAAACCAATAAATATATATTAACATGTTAAATTGGGTGAGGAAAAAAACAGAATTATTTGTTTTAAACTACACATTTATTTCCCTACAATGGCGATTATTTGTAAACATGTCTGCTTTTGAAGAAGGGAACTTTAAAGTGGTAATTTTATACGAAACGTGGAAATCACTTAAGCATGTAGCAAGAACGTGGCAATCACCACCGCAATTTTATAAGCAAATTTTGTCCACATTTAAGGTTTGGGAAAAGTTCCGGAAACGTTGCAAAAACTGATACCCACTTTACTACTACTACAACTTAAGTAAATTTAAAGTAATACTTAAGTGATGTGATTTGGTTACAGTTACTATTCATAATTCACTTTAAAGTTTAGACAACTTTAAAGTGGTGTCAAAAGTGGTCATAACGTTTCAGATACCAGACTAATACACCAAAAAGTTATAAAACTATAAAGTATATTCTGCTGGTGCAAATAACATGATTACAACTATGCTAATATATTATGGATAAATTTTAACAGTATCGTGGTAGATTTAGTTGTTTAAACGTTATTGCCACTCATTTGAAGTGGTGATATCAGTTTTCGTCACTATAATGCTACTTGGGTTGGCAGTGAAATGTATGATCGGTTATAATATAAGCTTTCTCCGCCTGCTCTATAATGTACTATTTTTATTACTTAATATTATATATACTGCAGTTTAGCTTAGCGATTTATATCTCTCATTTCCCCCACTATCTCCATTTTGTATCGGTTTGTATTGGTGTTACTATGGTTAATTTGAAAGGTTAGGTAACTAACCGCAATTCTACTGTAAGTGACATACCTTACCTCAATTCTACAGAAAGTGACAGAAACCTAACCTCAATTCTACTGGAATTAACAGATACCTAACATAAAATTACACCTTGACGCTAGTTTTACAGCGCCAGATTAGTCACGTGGTCATCTCACGTGGCTTTTAGCTTCAAAAATAAAAATCTAAAAAGAATTTAGCTTGCTATAGTATATTATTATACTAGAGTTAATGCAGGCTATTATTCACGAGGATGAGGTTTGCGTCTCGATTCGCTAAATCATCCGCGTGAGTAATGCGCATCTCGAGTGTAATACCACTAATTCACTCCAATGGGTAGATAATTAAATGATTTTCAAAAATAAATATATAAAATCTAACATATCTCAAATGGCTAACCTAACTTTTTACCAATTTTAAATGTTATTATAGTCGCCTTCTCCCAATTTAAAACCCGATTGGTTAAAATCACATTGAATATTGAAATCGGCCTATAACTGATGCCTAACAACGTGAATAATGAGTTCATTATTCCCGTTGTTAAGCAGGGAATTTATGTTTTTTATTATTCACGAAAAAAACAATATTATGCCTTAGGAGTAGATAAACAGAATTAGTTTATATTATTAATCGTTTTATTACTCACTTAAAATAATTAAAACAGTTTATTAATTAATGTAACATTCATTTAAATTTAAAAATCTTTGCTTATGCGGTAAAGTGTATGTTCTGTGTATCAGACTGACATTTTCAGTCGCCGATTGTTGACGATCGATTTAAGCGTCCAATTTTCGAGGTTCCAGTTTTCAAATATAGGTAAGTGGAGGAAATCAGGGAGGTAGCGCTACTCCTTCACTGCGGAAATAATTATACCACGGTAAAGGTAATTTTAATTAAATTAAGCGAGAAATATGAACCATCAAGTAAAAGAAAATGTATTTAATAGGAAAAATATTTAAAAAAAAAACTAAAAGAAATCGTTTTTTCTTCTTTAAATCACTTATCACCTACTTTTAGAATACCCTTTATATATTTTTTGCTTTTACAGATTACAAGAATGCCAGGTTTACCCACAAGACCTGCCATTTATGATATTGACGTGGATCCAAAGACTGGGGAAATAGAAGGATTGTTTTAATTATTTAATTTTAATTTATTGAAATAATTTTTTATGAAAACTACTAAGGGATAATGTTAAGTCAAATTAAAATATTTACTTTATGCATTTAACCATTAACATACGAAAGAAGTAACCAGTAACTAATTATTTTCATAAATAAACTGCTAAATTTGTTAACTGAAAAATGTTACATTATTTCTCTCCCAACAAATTAATGTTATTTTACAAGGAAACCCATTTTTCTTAAATTTTGAATTACAGCGCCATCTGTTGATAAATTAAAAAAAGTTTCAAATAAAAGTTATTCATGTTTTTATGTACTACCAAAATCTGTGAAAAAAATCGGGTCATCCCATTTGACTTTCCAAAGTTACCCCCCGTTTCACCCTTAAAGAGAGGTAGGGGGTGGCTAGCGGTAGCACCAAATAATGTCCCCTTTGGTCACATTAACCTTTTATTCAAGACATTTTTTGATGCGTATTTCTCTAGATATTGAGCTGTCTCAAGTTAAAAGAAACACCCTGTATATATGGATCAGATAAAGGGGTCAAGTGAAACCCAGGTTTTTATAACGATAAATAAATATATTTATTTAATAGTTTACTAAAGATACCTACCTATTTGACTTTAACAGCAACTCTTAATTTTGCAGACCTACTTCTTGGATTTATTTCAACCTCTTCATACTTTGGTACAATTACATGTTTATGCAAACTCTTCCAGTTAGAATCCATTACACCCATAACAATGTCATTATTAATGCTATATGTAACACTGCTGTATTTTAAAGGTAATGGATTGGCTGAATTTTCTAAAACATTTCCTAATAGCTGTCTTTTTACTACTGTGTCTTCAAGAGAGTGAAATGTTATTGTTACTATTCTACCGCCAATTTTTAAGTATCTATGAGCTAATATAAGTCCATAATTGATTTCATTTAGTTCATTATTAACAAAAATTCTAAGAGCTTGAAAGGTTTTTGTGGCATTATGAGAATGCCGTTGCAGTTTATCAACACGATAATCATCACTAGACACAGAATTTACTAAATCAGCAAGTTGTTCAGTGGTGGTTAAATTTTTAAATAAGTACCTGGCTTCTACAATCACTCTCGCGATTTTTTTAGCCTGTTTTTCTTCCCCATAGTACTTTATGATTTTGTATATGTCTTCTTCACTTGCCTTGGCCAGTACATCTGCAGCAGTTGGTTGGTCTACAAATATTAATTCATTATAAATTAAAATGCAAAGCATGTTTAGGTTACAATGCTATTTCAAAAATTGAAAAAAATGTTTAGTCTTAATTAAGTAAAAAGTAAAAAATGTCAAGTTGTTATAAAGTATTGTATAGACAGACAAAGGTGGACTAGTGGTCAGTGCTGCTGACTGCAAGCCAAGAGGTCATGGGTTCAGGTCCCACATAGGTATGGTTGTTTATTTGTGTTTGTGCCCATAGGGGACATCCATATAATATTATTTACGTGAGGCATTTTTCTGATAATTTGGACCCCCCCTTGGTGAGATGTGGTAGATCCCACAAGATTCTAGCTATAAAACTTTCTTTGCAGAAAACATGATGAAAAAGTAAAAAAAAAACTGATTAATTTTTTTTTAACAAATTTGAATTATACATATTCTTTAAACTCAAAAGTTGACGTGAGATTTTAAATGACTCCCCCTCCCTTAAACTGAGATTTGGTTAGATTTTGCTAGACCCTTCCCCCATTTTTCTCTTACATAATTAATGGATGTCCCCTAATTACCTATAGTAGGTAGTAGAGTTTCAACGCTTTGATACCGCAACCTCATCAGCCATTCATTGCCCACCGTTGTCGAGCAATGACGTTGCGGTATCAAACTCTAGTAGTAATCTGTGATTTTTTTTATAAACTTTTTATAGGGTAGTCACATGTACATGTATAAGTAAATCAAATTAATGACTAAACCACAAGTATTTGGTAGCATTAAAAAGTTTTAATAAAAAGCTATTAAGTATTTCAAAAAATGCAGATACATCATTTTAAGTGATTGTCACATTCACAATGTGATCAGTCACAAAAACAATGTGACCGGTCATTTGCCAACTCTAAATTTAAAATAACTTGATTATACCTTCCAATTTTGCAATGCATTGTTATTTATCCACTTTGTCTCATTTAAAATTTGATCTTAATTTTCTTTTAACTTTATTACAATGTTAATTTTCAATGCAATATTAATATTAATTATGTTTGAAATTATACATAGTTTTTGACAAAAAAATTTTATAGAACATTTTCTTTTTTTAATATTATGGGATTTGATATTTAAAAACTCCTCCTTACCTTAAAATTAATAATACCAGGACCCCCTATTTTTAGTAAACTTAGGTATACCTACTAAAATGCTCAGAAAAACATATTTTTTACCTGGAAACCTTGTTCCATCCATCCTCATATCCAAAGGTCCATTTTTTGATATGGAAAACCCCCTTTCACCAATATCAAACTGCATTGAAGAACAACCAAAGTCAAACAAAACTCCATCAACTGAATTGAACTTAATATTCCTCTCCTTTAAAAGTTGTGGTAGTTCAGAAAACCTCCCCAACAAAGGCACAACTTGCTCTGGATATTCCCTGGCAAACTCCAGTGCATATTCATGTGCTTTAGGATCCCTATCTAACGCTAATATTTTAATATTTGGCGCTGATTTCAGTATTTTTCTACTGTGACCCCCAGCACCAAATGTCATATCTAAAAAGGTTTGATTTTCTTCTGGTTTTAGCTGCTCTATCACTTCTGTTGCCATTACAGGTATATGTGGTGGATTTTCCTCAACTTTTTTACATGCCACCGCACACATTCGCCTAATATAACTATTACTAAAAATACCTCTTAAGGTAAGCATGTTTAACTTTTATTACTCTTTGTTTTATCTGGTCTTAATGATAGTAATTTCTGCAAAAACGACTTGTTATCGTTTTCGAATTCTTCTAAATATTCGTTAGATAAAGCAATATTACACTGCTCTGCATTTAATCCAGTAGACGATGATGATAACACTCGGGGGTATTTGTTCTTACTTTCATTATCCACTAACTTTTTAATTGCCAGGTATTGTTGGTCCCAATACTTGTAGTTTGTTTCGAATTTGTTTTCTTTGTAGGCTTTATTAATAGTTTCCTTTATATATTCACCTAGATCCCTAGAATTCAAAACATTAAAGTTAAAGTGAGGTTATGTAAGGAAAATCAATATAGTATGGAAATTTTAGAAATAGGTTTAAATTTAAATATTAATAATAAAATTAATTAACGTAATTACCTTCCCCCTGCCTTATTTTTATCAATGGGCCATTTTTCTAATAATTGCAAAATTCTTTTATAATTTCCCGTTCCTGCGGCCATAATTTAAAGATTATTCACTTAACTCGGAATTATACCAATGGTAGTTGCCATGTGAGAGTTAAAAATGATACTTTAAATAATTTTTAAAGTTTTAAAATTTATTAAAAAAAAATAATAATAAAATATAACGTTATATAAACACCTATGATATTTTTTAATTTGGAGTTTTATTAGACTTCTGGCCTAGATTTTTGATGACGAATAACATACCTTGTTTATACCGACTGTGCAAAAAGGTAGGGCTACCGAGAATTTTGACATATTCATTTCCAGTGGCAGCGGTGAGCGGTTTCTGCAGCAGATTTGTGTATAAAAATTAGGGTGGATTTTAATTAAAATGTCTATGTTAAAAATTGCAACGCGGTCCATACCGCGTACAGTGCTAAGGACCATAAATAATTGTGTAGAAAAAAATTTAACTGAGGTAATTTATAGTTTTATTTCCTTGTTGGACTAATGCCTGGGAAATTGTATCCTAAAATTATGTAATAACCTCAGCTGTAATAATTTTCCCTTTAAAATTATTTTTATTTAATTTATTCCTTATGGTTATGTAATCAGAGTGATTTTCAGTTACCAGTGGCTCAAAGAGGAGTTTGCCAAGGAATTCATGTTGTTCGTAAATATAGTGTTAACAAGGGTGTTTTAGGAAGGTAATAAAATTAAAATAAAGAATAATAAAATAATAATTATTATAATAATATAAATGTTATTTTAGGGAAAGTACATTAAAATCATGTAATGAACGATTTTTCAAAACCTCTGCATCTGTTTTCGATATTCAGGTAGTTAAAGTACCACCATTTGCTGATTCTGTATCAGAAGGAGATGTTAGGTAATTCATTTTATATTTTCAAACAATTTTTGAGATACTATATAGTATCTCAAAAATATAAACAGATATAGATATAATAGATAATATATAGTGTGTTTCATCTAAAACGAACCACCTCAAATAACTCAGCTCCTGTTTAAATTATTGGCAAAAGCCAAAACATGTCAATTTTAATTCAAAGGGGGAGAATTTTTAAAATTAGTTTGCGCTTGTGCACATTAACCAATATGCTGCAACTGTAAGGACTATCAAATTTTAGGTAGGTAAAGGGGGTCATGTCATATATCAATTGAAAACTCTTTTTATTCTCTATCCAACCCCATGCAATTTTTTTTAATTTCTGTCAACTGTATTTTGAGACATACTAATACAAATTTTACTGTTAATGTTTGAAAAACTAAACTATTTAAATAACGATCATCTTCACTTGGCAATCGTTTTTTGCTTATTGTTGATGAGTTTTTGGTTGCTAACGCTAATGTTTCAACATTTGTTGCATTGGAAATCAGTCAAGTTACCTATTCCTACCTTGCTAAATTGTTGAAATAATTATGATGTACACATTACAAGAACGTGTTGAGTTGGTAGGTTTCTATTACCAAAATCAAAATTGCGCTTGAAGTGCTGCAAGGGTGTTCAACAAAAGTGACCATAAACAGTGGTGAGTTATTTGAGGTGGTTCGTTTTAGATGGAACAAACTGTATTTATTTTAATGTAGATTGGGCAAAGTTGTTTATTTTTGATAAATGTTTATCTGTATTACTTCATTGTTATAGTTTATTACAGCTTAGTAAGTAATCAATAAAATTACAAAATTTTTGTTTTGTACAAAAATAGAATTAATAAATATAAGCTTAAAAATTTTCTGTTTATTGTTAAGTGTAAAATTTTAGAAATAACTTGTTTAACAGTTACAAGACAAGAAAGTTGTTGGTAAATTTATAAAGTTGGTAAATGGTTAAACCATTCATATGTGCACATGGCTATGTTCTTGAATTGTTACATACTACATTTTTAAACCATAACATTAGTTGAATTTGTAATAGTTTTAATTAAAGTAAAATGAATATTTATATTGACTGCAGTCAATACTAAATATTCATTTTACTTTAATTAAAACTATTACAAATTCAACTAATGTTATGGTTTAAAAATGTAGTATGTAACAATTCAAGAACATAGCCACATATGAATGGTTTAACCATTTATTGCCATGGCAATACTTTTTATAGGAAAATAAATAATTCATACTGAAATTATAACTTTATAAATTTAATATTGTTGTTCTTTATATATGTTTTTTTATTCATAGTGATACATGGATCATGCCAATTATTACATAAAATTACCAAGTATTCATCTGCCACATAGTTTGTTTTTTATTGCAATTTGACACTTTCAAAGTTCTTAAAAATAATTATATATAATAATAAATAATAATAATAAATACTTTATTGATCCCAAGAAACATAGATTGTTTATAGAGGGACAAACTCTAAACATCTAATAATTACAATACAGTGATAACGCAACAGTATCTTATAATAATAATAATCACGAAAATTAGATAAATTAAAAAATTATTATTATTATAATAATAATAATTTTTGTTTTTTAAATTAAATTGTCTTTTAAAATATGTCAAAATATTGTTTTTCTGTTTTCACCATTTTAAACAGAAGAAAATATTTGCTAATTTGACCGACTTTGTAGCTACAATAATAACTGAGTTAATAAATCCAAGTTAAAATGGTAGCAATGGTGAGCAGATAACTTTACACACAGTGTATAAATAATATGTTATACCTATTATGTATGTATTCAGATATGTAACACAACTTCAGACTGGAAAAGATACAAAATTCTTAATTTAAATTAAATTTTTTGGGGCTCAGCCCTGCTTAGTTAACATTCGGATGACCAACCTTTTTTTATACATGGATGACCAAAGGGGGTCAAAATGACCCCGCTTGGTTTTACAAAGTTTATACAAAAGTCTTGACAGAAGTATGTACAAAAATGCTCTTTTAGTTCGACCCTTACTTCCTAAGATGTCCCAGAAGCCAACTGAATGGTTTGTGCGGGTTCGGGGTAGGAACGGATCGCGGGCTTAAAGTCCTCTTCGAAGGACTAACACAAATAAACAACCATATCAATGTGGTACTCGAACCCAGACCTCTCGGTTTGTAGTCAGCAATTTTAATGTTATTTTTTTTTTCTTAAATAAATCAACACACATAAGAACAACCAGAAAGAAGTAAAAATATCTTTCAGAACTTATTGAAGCAAGTAATGAAATTTTAAAAAATATTCACAAGTTTAATTTACAAAGTATGTTTTTTAATCTTTATATGATCCTTGCATACAAATGCTTGTATTTATAGATTTTAGATCGGGCACGTTTCTTGAGATTTTGAGCTGGCTCTGCATCTTCAGAATTCTGAACATTATGTTATAGTACCAAATTTATGGCTGTTTAAATGTGTAGCTTAAAGCCCGAATCTTGAATAAGGAAGCTTTTCCTTTTTCGTAATCTTCATCAACGAACAGCATTTATTCAACCTATGACAATGAAATTGAAAAAATGCAACTAGAGGCCCTCGTTTTATATTGCTACTGTGAAAAATTACCAAAAATTCCACAAACGTCCAATTTAAAAATTAAAAATGAATGACCAAATTTAGAAGAAAAAAAATTATTTAATTGTTTATATATCATCCTTTATAGGCCCATATACCAAATTTGAAAATATTGTCCAATTATGATTTTTCATTTATTTTGTCAAGATATTACCTTGTTAATAACAGATACGTCAAAAAGTTCTTTGGACAAGTTGAAATCGAAATTTAGTACCTTTTTAATAACAGATACGTCAAAAAGTTCTTTGAACAAATCCAAATTTAGGTCCGTATCCCAAATTTCAAAATCCTCGGCCATTTTTCTAAATTAAAGAATTTACACCAACCATTAATTAAAAGCTGTCTATACTTTTTGTTCGATATTATAAAAGTTTAAATAATCTACAATTGGGTAAAAAATAAAAAAAAATTTATTTAGGTTTGAAAAAAAAGTTGGTGACCATGTCGCCGCCGACGAGGTGGTCCTTGAAATCGAAACGGACAAGACTTCGGTCCAAGTTCCCGCTCCTGGACACGGTATTATCAAAGAATTTTTGGTCGCTGATGGAGACACAGTCAAGGCTGGCCAAGAACTCTTTAAAATCGATGTAACTGGAGAAGCCCCCGCTAAGGGTGCACCTGCAGCTAAAGAAGCGCCGCCACCAGCTGCTGCTCCACCACCGCCACCACCACCAGGTAAACAAGTATATAAAATTTTAAAAAATTTACATCATATGGGTTCTTTTGGATCATATGATAGTTGGATTAAATAGACATATTTCCATGAGCCCTAATTTTTTTATGTATTAGGTATATTTACTTTATTTATGCACACAAGAAAAAAGGGTTTGCTATAAAACTTATAAAAAGTGGCATTTAAATCAATTAATCGTTTTTCAATAAAGACCATTATTTTTTTAAATAATATACCAAATCAAAGAAAAAAATTATGAATTTTAAATAAAAAGTTATTAACAGATATTTTTTGTTTGAAAGATATAATTTTTTTGTTTTATCAAATAGAATCATTTTGTTTGGAACCTGTCCAATTACTGTTAATCTAGTTTTAAAATAGAAATTTATATAATAATAATAGTTTTACAATGTTAATTACACTAGTGGCACCATTGGTGTCATACCAATGTTTTATAATACTCAATAATAATATTATAAAAACTCATATATCTACATGCTTGTGAAATTAAAAAGGTTGTTTTTTAAACATATTACACGTATTGTTAAATTAGGTTTTTTTGTAATTATTTGTTAAGTTTGCACGATTTCATAATTTTGTCCTGTAATTGGATTTTGTAATCTGTTGGGCAAATAAATATATATTATTATTATTATTATTAAAATAATATTAATTATACTATTAATACACATATTTGTCCCCAAGATACTATTATGGTTTATAATTATAATAATAATTATAATAATGGCATTTATTTTTCAAAATAATATTTAACATGTTGAGAAACTATTAAGGTTTATAATTATTATAATAATGATAAGTATTTTTTAAATATTATTCAAATATGTTTGCTATGTAATATACGTAACTTAAATAAGTAAAATAAATGTAGATAAATATAATAATCGCAAAACTTAACAACAGGTCCACTTATATTAAATATTAAATTTTAAGTTTTAAAAACATGTTTACATTATATACCTAGTTTTTTGTGTCAAAAAGTGATTATCTTTGTGTATAGCGGTGGTCTACTATTGAGCACAGCACAAAAACCTTATGGGACAAATGACATACAACATTAAATGTTGTAATAATGTTTTTCAGAATTTAAAGCAATTTTATTTGTTAAACCACATATCCATATGAATATGTGGTTAAAGGTACAATCACAGAACATATATAATAAAATTCGACATGCGACAGACCGTTCAACCAGAGACTTGTCTCTGCCAGAAACTCTCTGGTTCTAACCTCACTTTATACTTTTAATAATTGTAGGGAATTGTACGTATATACGCTAAAGGTACGGTTTTGTTGATGCGACTCGCGGCTTGCGGCTGCGACCTTAGCCGCGCCACTGCTTAGTACAATTTGTGTGTATATGTTTTGGTTGACCAACCAAAACATAGACAAACAAATTGTATTAAGCATTGGAGCGGCTACGATCGCAGCCGCAAGCCGCAGCCGCGAGTCGCATCAACGAATCCGTATCTTAAAGAAGTATCGGGTTTTCGCAACGCGCACGCCATCTGGTGGAAATTGTCAACAATACATTTAAAGCATACGAACTGTACATCATTTTTAAATAAATAGGTAGTTTTTTCACAAAAGAGAGGAAGGCAGAAGTCTTACTCGACAAATTTTATTCAATTACACAGCTAAATCGCGCACGTTATTTGTGTTTTACGTTGCAAGGAAAAAATTAAAAAACTTTTTTAGTACTCGATTTTTATTGATTATTCCTTGTATTATTGATTAAGAAACTCAACGCTTAAATGCTTATATAGTTACGTTAGTGTGTGTATTTTATCATGGTGAATTATTGTGTTTTTAATTGTAAATAAAATTCAAGAACCAAATCGTTGCATTTTCATGTTTTGCCAAAGGATCCAATTCGTTAAGTAAATTTGTTGGTGCAGAATTAAGTAATGATAACTTTACCTAATATATTTTATATTTAAGTTTGGACATTTTTAAGAAATAAGTAAATAAAAATTTTTGCACAAACATAACCTTTAAATCAACCATATTTGCGTTCTCTAAAAAACGCTGACAACTGCATTTTAATCAACAAAATATACCTACGAATTCATGGCAACAAAATATATATTATATATATTACATAATATAATGGTATTTTACCGTTGAGTGGAGACTTTCTTAATCAACGCTTTTAATAATGCTAAATGCTGTTTAAATTTAGACGACTTATTTGTTTGACGATTTTTACTGAATTGAAATATTTACACTTATCACGTTAATCACTACTAAATTGTGTATTTATTGTATATAATAGGTACAATGTATATTTACAGAGACTGTATGCAATTTATTTCTTCATTCAGATTAACACTGTTTATTGGAAAACCGGTAAAAACTCAACCCAGGATTTCCTCTCGAAATACACCCAACAACATAACAAATCGAGCCACTGTTTTTTTTTTGATATTTTTTAACATTCTCCGGCTTTATTCTCAAAAACACTCGTTTGTAACATAAGCGTTTAACAGCTGATTATTAAAAGTTATACTTTTGTTACGATGATAACATCCGAGTGGTGGCTCTACTAGCGATACTTCTTTAGCGTATAGGTAGAGAGTCTCTGGCAAAGACAAGTCTCTGGTTGAACGGTCTGTCGCATGTCGAATTTTATGATCGGATACGAGGGGTGAGAAAGTTTCTCCCAATTTAAAACCCGATTGTTTTAAATCACAATGAACTTATACCAATCACTTAGTGATTGGCAGATTTAATTATAATATATAGTGAATTTCACTATATATTATAATTAAATCTGCCAATCACTGACGCCTATTAATATCCATATATAAGTTTTTTTACCCTTATTACGAAATATGACCTTTTTAATATGAAATTGGTATATTCCATACTTTGATTAAAATGTCACATAGAGACCCTGTTCAAACTGATAGATTTTTGTATAGGAGTGTATGGTGTTTCTATAGGGTGTATCAGTATGTATAGGTCCCATAATTGGGATTTATGGATGTTCTATAGGGATATCCTTCCTTGATTTATTTGTTATCGGTCTCAATAAGGAAAATACACATAAATGTAGAAATTAGTTTTCTCCCATAGGATCCCACAGGTTTTAACAATAATTTGTCAAATGTTTTATGGTTGCTCTATAGGGATATCCCTATATATCCTTCCTTGAGTTATTTGCTATTGGTCTCAATAGGGAAAATGTAAAATGTATGGTACCATACCTATAGGCACACGTGTGCCTATAGGTTATTTCCTATAAATTTTCTATCGGGCCCTATCCGGAAAAAAACATGGACAAATGTACATATTGAGTCCGTTAGCGCCCGATAGATTATTTTTATGGGTCTCTTGAAGTATTTTAACTTAAAAATTTTAAGCAGGGTTAGGTGGTATAAAATATTTATTCCATCGCCGGTTTTAATGATTTGGACCAATGGGGCAAACTAGCTTATTCCAAAACCATCATAGTCGCGTACTATTATGTGATGAACATCTGTCAAAAGGGTATAACCTTACTTTCTCCCTATTATAATTTATAAGAGGAAAAGTATAGCCTCGTTTGGAATTGCATATTCCGCTCTTTGTGAAACCGTCACAACTCGCCTTCGGCTCGTATGACAAACTTTTTACTCGAGTGGAATGTACTGTAAAACTTGTTCAAACTTGTTACAGAATAATATTCTGTAGTATATTATACTATATATAGTGTAATATACTACATAATATTCTGTAACTAGTATATATCTGTTTACTGCTGACTTGTATGGGGCTATGCCATACCTAATCAATTACTTTGGTGTCAACTTAACACTGCCAAGTGCACTAGTGTTGATGACAATAAAGTTTAATTAATATACCGCTTAAATATAAAATGATTTTAATGCCATAAGAGCATACAAAAGTGGAAGTATTTTATTTGAAACAGGCTTAATATGGAATCAGTGTTTTAGTTTACAATTTCCAATTATTAAAGTATGGTTTCTATACCAATACCATTTTTGTATTAGTTAATATTTGCTCCATTGTCAAGTTGTTAAAAATTTGCCATGCGCATTTTTTTATTTTAAAGGCTAAATTTTAAAATGCGCATGCCTTTATAATATTAAAAATAATATAATATACAGAACTAATTTAGGATTAGCTTCGCGAAAACAAAGTTGTCAAGTTGTTCTTGTATTTACAAATAAATACCACTGACTAAATATAACAGGAACTCTAAATGCAATTGAAGCTTTAACTTAAAATGGTGTGTTACATAAATTAAAACCACACAAAGTATGAGTAAAAAAATTAACACCCCCAGCTTGTAATACTTAGAAGCCTTTGAAAACCAGAGATAATAATGAAAACCATAGAAAATTATATAAAATGAGAAAATTAGGTACACAACTGCATTAACATTGGAATAGTGTTATGCAACAGGGAACCAAACTTCAAGATGAAAAAAATAATGTGGGCCTTTAGGACCACTTTATAAAAATATGTTTAAGCAATTAAAAATGCGGAAATATACTAAATTAAAATATTCAAAATAATACATAACTCTGCAAACACACTTTCTAAATTTCAAGAAAGACCCAAGCTGCATGATTACACCAACTTTCTATAGGCAATCACTAGTTTTATTTAGTCAACAAGTAATCAACCAACAAATTTACTTATTTTATCGAAAATAAAAAAACCGTGAGAAATGAAACGAAAAGCCATTCAATTGGAACCTACCATAAAATTTACAAAAAAATAAAAACGATCATCAAATTTAAAAGAATATAAATTCCAAAGCTGTCGCTGTTGCTCCACCACCGCCTTCAGCAGCAGCGGCAAGGCCCGCCGAACCAGCAGTCGCCCCGCCAAAGAGACCCGCAGCTCCGATCAGCTCGATCCCCGTCGCCGCCATCAGGCATGCGCAGTCCTTGGAAGCAGCTACCGTCAAGCTGCCGCCCACCGACTTCACCAAGGAGATCACCGGAACCAGGACCGAGCAACGCGTCAAGATGAACAGAATGAGGCTAAAGATTGCCAGCAGATTGAAGGAAGCTCAAAACGTCAACGCTATGTTGACCACCTTCAACGAGATTGATATGACGTAAGTTTACTTAAGAATTGTAACTATTTAAATACATACTCTATTCAAAAACCTCGTGGCGCGAGTCTGTCCTTAAATAACGAAGATAATAGTATATTGTTTACCTAGCGTGGAACCATATGATTGCTATATAGCAATTACTCCCGATGACGAAAGTTTCCGAGCGAGCCGATAGGCGATTAAAGGAATTCATTGGGGGAGTAATTTTGATTCCACGCGAGGTAAACACTATATTTTTTTGCCAAGTAAAATCGCTTACAAATATACAATTTGGGTACCCGCAAAAAAACTTGTATCAAAATTATATCTGACGTTACAATCGGCCCATAATTACCATCTTGACAAAAAAGAGTATTGTAGATTGTATTGTAATCAGCGCCAAAAGTGTGGGCAAAATGTCAGCTCAATCGGTCGGGTGGAACTGGTTTAAAATTCAGTTACAAGGTTTGACCCATCCTGACAGGTGAAAAAAAAGCTTGTAAAAAATCGATTAGGAGAATAGGTTAGGAGAAAATAGTACATTATCTAACAGGCGGAAAGTGCGCTTATTATATCCGGGGCTGAAGATTTGAGTTAGGCAGTTAATATGCTTTCTCCGCCGTGTTGCGTATCCTATTTTTTGTTGCACTTTCTCACGCATACTTTTGACGCTCGACAGTGCGGAAAGTAGCACCTTTCAGCACACTTGTAGAAAATAGTTATTTATGTCATTAGGTTAAGAAGTAAGGCTTTTTGTGCTAAGCTCAAGGTTTGAAGGCCGACGCGTAGCGGAGGCCTACAATTGAGCGAAGCACAAAAAGGCACTTCTTGGCCGAATGGCATACAACATTTTATCTTCAAAACACTTTATATAGGTCAATTTAATTCAACATAAAAGCGGCCTAACCTCACTTTTTTAGAATCTCATTCATTTATTAGCTAAAGATTACATTAAATGTACAATAATTATTATAGCTTTTAGAAGCAGTAATAGTTTGACAATACCTAGCTACATGATTTAAGTAGAAATGGATTTTTGCTATTACATTGAATTCAATTAATTGTTTAATAAATAGGTAGGTATCTAATTTCAATTTGTTTGGATTTTTATTTAAAAAAATAGGTAGTTTGGAATGTTTAAGCTGTGTTTAACATTTAATTTTACTGAAAACTTAAAGCAAATTAAAACATAAAGATAATTTAAATCGTAGAAAAAGAATCGTGCGTTTTCTTGGTTGCCTAACCTCACTTTTTGTTTTATTATTCATATTTAATTTTACAATAATTTAATGAAAATTATTAAACGTTAACAGTAAAACAAACAAATTAGTGCTTATTATAAATAAATTAAACCAGTTTTGTACGTTAATTTCTTAAAAAAGGATTAATTTGTCAAAACAATACCCCTAGCGAGAAAAAATCGAACTAATTACTTGCCTCATAAAAATTTTTATCGGCCTAGGCCATAACAAGGTATTTCTTTATCGAATGTTGCAACAATAAAGTTTAAATTATAGACCGCGTGGAGATAAAACATTTTATCTTTAAATGTAAACTTGCGAGATTCCCTTGCTTGTAGAAAAAAATATTGTACCTAACACGCGCGGTCTTTTCCGCACTAGTTAGGTATATATCTATTAAATACCTGACCAAATTTGGCCATGAATCATTCAGTGTGATTTGTAATTAATAATCCAAATTAAAAAAATGGGGTAAGGTGATCAGGGCAAAATATGTTTTTGTAGATGTCCAAGTAAAATGGGACATTTTTTATATTTATTTCCAGCACTTGATATAATGAAGTAATACTGTTTCAAAATTTGTACACATAGGTGTTTGGAGTAAATAAAACTCTGACAAATTAATATTTTTATATAAAAATATTTGTATATTTTTTGATTGCAACTTGTAATTAAGAAATTTACAATAACACCAACACACCATCGTGAGTCTTTTTTCACCAACCAAAAATAAAAATTAAATAATTCTCTTTTCTTTAAATGAAATGTCTTATGGTCTGAGTAACTTGAACATTGCTCACTTTTATTAAATTTTAATTTTGTTATAAAAAATATTTATTTTATTTAACACCGCTTTAGTTTCTTAACTTCAACCGGTGGGCTAAATTATACTTCGCCCACGGGCTGAATTTAGTTTCTCCTTCTTCTTCTTCATCTGAACACAGGGGAAATGGCCTTTAGCTTATTTAAAAGCTATTTGATCAAGGGTCTCAATCAAAAGAATCTGCGTTCAACTCTTGAATCATTTATATAATTTATATATTCTTACTGTTTATGGTTTATTTTAATATAAATCTATTTTTCACTATTATTCTTACTTTAAATATTTGTTCTTAATTTCTATTCCATTTTCCGATACACATTATAAACAATTATCACACTACATTTAACAAACATCCACATAAATTTCTTCTTTTGGCAATAATTTTGTTTGTGGAAATTCCTTGTAAATTACTCAATCTCATGTAAATTTTGTATATTTGATAGTTACCAGCCTACTTTTGTGCTGGGATTCAAATCCCTTATATTATCCTACTAAGCAAAATACCATTGCATTAACGTTACTGTGATGTTACCAATTACCGTGTAACGTTACAAGTAGGGATGCACCGGATCGGGTATTTTGCCGATCCGGCCGGAACCGGAATTTCGGCCGCTGGCCGGACCAGATCGCCGGAATTCCGGCCGGATCGGGACCTAAATTTAAAATGTATGTGCATGCCCATTTTTATACGTAAAACATTGAAAATATTGAGGCTGATTTATTTTTACTTTTTTTTAAACTAACTACAGTATGCAGAGTGTTTATTACTATTAATTTTACCTAGATAGAAATTACTGTTTATTTAAATATTAATTTTTAATTAGCGTTAACAAATTCTACTCATTCAATTGGAGAATAGCAGCCACCTGCCAATAATAAAAAAATAAAAAGAAGTCGGGGAACCACAGCCGCCGGTCTATCATAGACAAGGAAACACGCACACCCTTCACTGTTGACCAATTATAAAATATATCTGGTCGAAATTTGGGGCATCCCAGACGCGAAAGTCGGGGAATCACAGACGCGAAAGTCGGGAAATCCCAGACGCCTGCTAATCATAAGCAAAGGCACAGGGCTGCAGGTCATTTCATTATTCATTTAAAATAATTTTCTTTATTTTTGCATATATTTGAATTTAAATTATATTAAAAATTTAAAACTTAAACATTTCCAAAAAGTTCCGAAAATTCCGGCCGAAAAGCGACCGGCCGGAGCGATCCGGCCGGATTTAGTGGTACCGCCGGAATTCCGGTGCATCCCTAGTTACAAGGCTGATCACATAAACGCTGCATCAACGTGTCAGTGATGTTTAATGTCCGCCCTACTAACGTTACAATTTAACGGTACAGCTTAACGTTAACACAATGTTACATTTTATTGTCACTGCAACTGCAACTGCACTGTGACGTTAATGCAATGGAATCCATTACGTACACGTAAGATTGTGACGTTAACGTGGCGTTTGATTTTTAACGTGGCACAATGTAAAATTTGTTACTATTACTATACTTAAGTAATATGAATAAACGGCAACCTTTAACATCGAGGATATGTTAATGCAACGTTAGCACATTAACCTTAAAGTCGAAACCTTATATTAACGTTAATCAAGTTTGTATGCTTGGTATCGTTAACCTTCAACAACGAAAGCATGTTAATGCAACGTAACAATGTAACGTTAAAGTTGAAACCTTGTATTAACGTTAATCAACGTTAAATTAACGTTTTTTGCTTAGTGGGATTATAACTGTTTCCATAGAGCAAGTGACTGGTAGGCTTAAAGAACAAAACCCAAATGAAAGTTCTTCTTCTTCAAAATTTATTGGGCTTTAGCTAATTTGAAAGCTATTTGGCCAGCTCATGATGTTGATGTTGTTTCAATGAAAGTTATTTTTAAGTTAAAGTTGGAGAAAAAAACTGAGGTTAAATTAAAACTGCTTGACAGTTCTCAAATATCAGTTTAAATATCAAATAAATTTGGCTTTAAATTCCTTGCGGTAGTTGAATAAAACATTGTGTGCAACTATTGGCCAAAAGAGAAATCTCCTTTTTCTCTCACTATAGTCACACAATATACTATTAAGTATAAAAGTTGCTTTTTTTAAAGAAATAATTAAAAGAAGAAAATAAGAGAATTGTACAATTTAGTCCATTTTCATTTTCAAGTTACTTTCAATGCATAATAGTATATTTTGTATCAAGTTTTATAAACGCCATTTTAGTTATGCGTTTTATTAGGCATGTGCGAAGCTTTCGAGCGACTGTTTAATAAAAACGAGTGTCTAGAGAAGCTTATAAAACGAGTTGCATACTATACTTTATCTACGATGAACACAAAGAAGAATTTAAAGCCAATTTTATTTGAAATCTGTCAACAAAGCCACTGTTGCTAACTTCAGCCTTTGACTAAAACGCAATGAAGTCACATCAATGGGGGAGTAGATAAAAAATATAAAGTGTTGTGGTGGGTGGGCAAAGATTTCCACCACTTAAGATAATTTTTTTACACTGGCCATAGTGGTTCAACGATTGTAATAAAACTTTTAAAATTTTGTCGTTTTTAAAATTTGGGTTGGTTTACAATTTTGCCGCCCCTAAAATTGTGTCTACCTAGGCCCGGGCCTTGCAGATCTAGGCCTATATTCATCTATTTTTAAAAGTAGGTAATTTAATTTCTAAAATTTGTGTCAAAGCCAAAATAAAAAAAAAAACATATGACTAGCTAACTTTAATTAAATTCTTTACAAATCCTTACAATTAAATTAATTATGTGAATAAATTTCAAGAACCTGTATCTCAAAAAATAAGCCTTTGTTTATTTTTTTTTCTCAAGGGGTTAGTTAAGTGCAGCCAGATGTGTGGAAAAATAGACATTTTCAAGAATTTCTTATACTTTATTTTAAATAACTTTCACAAACATTTCAACAACAAAAATAATTTTGGACCAAGTTAATAACTTATCAACTTGATTGTTATCCCCCTGTTAAAGATGCTTTGAGGTGGCCATTGGTGGTTAATTAAAATTCAGAATGAAAATTTAAAAGTTGTTAGTCTGAAAGTTTATCTGAAGAATGATTTTTTTAAATTCGCCCCTAGCATCTGGAATTTGTTTTATGAATTTTAAGGAAAAAATAGATTCTTAGATAAAGTGGCCAACGTATCAAAAAACGTAGTTTCACAATATACAATTTTTACAGAATTCTTTTTAAATATTGTACCCACTGCAAACAATGCAAACAATCGATTGTTTTAAATATTCTAAAGGCACTGCTTGTGTTTTTTGTTAATAATTTCTAAACACCTTGTATTATATTTATAATTATTATTTGTTAATTTGTGGATCCTTTCAAGCAGTATTTTACACACCAGTTATTTTTAATTTCCAGGAACATTATCGAATTTAGAAAACAACACCAAGAAGCGTTCCAGAAGAAGCACAACCTAAAACTTGGTTTCATGTCCGCTTTCTTGAAGGCCTCCGCCTACGCCCTTCAAGATCAACCCGTTGTGAACGCCGTCATAGACGGCCAAGAGATCATCTACAGGGACTACGTCGATATTTCCGTCGCTGTGGCCACTCCAAAGGGTCTCGTGGTGCCCGTCATCAGAAACGTCGAGAAGATGTCGTTTGCTGACATTGAAATCAGTATGGCTCAGATGGGAGAGAAAGCAAGAAAAGGTACGTACAAATTACGAAAATTTTAGTACATTGTTTACCGAGTGTGGAATCATAACCCAACTAGCAAAATAAATCCCTTAAAGAATTGAATTGTTTTATAACTATTGTCTAGAGCTTCAAGAAGAGCAGTTTTATTGTTTAATGCGTCTTAATACAATAATTTTATCGTAAAAACGACGGAATTCTAATACATTATTGTATGTATATTCTTACTCATGTTAAAGAACAAAACTCATACAAATTTTTTAACCATTTTAAAAAATTTATATAAAAATTATAATACAGTGGTATACTTACCTACTTTAATACTAGCTTCAACGTTTTATGATAGTTGTAATAGAATTTGCGTAAAATTTGTATTGAAGCTCTTTAAGATACATTAAAAATTTGTTTTTTAAGCAGAAAGTAAACATGCTACACAATAAGTATAAAGTTATTCTATAACTACACCGATTAAATTTTTTATAGAAAGTTTATAAAGTAAAATTATCTGCGTTATAAAGTCTGTTTATACATAACCTTAGTGTTTTATTACGCCAAAATAAGTATACTTAAATATATTTTATTTTGTAAAATGGAGTCGCAATGGAAAAAAATTAAGGAAAGTGGGCATTTTAAAAGAAGAGCAAAAAAAATTATCAAGTCTTCAACAGTACTGCCGCAATAAAACATTCTATTCAACATTTAGTTAAGGCACCAACTCTTTTACAATCGATAGCTTAGCTGTCATAGCTACAAAGAAAATTTAGAAGAGGCCACCATGCAGTACACGTGAAATTGGATCAAAATAAAATATAAAAACGAAAATAATAATATATATTCGAATACACCATGGATACTGACGATGAGGAATATTTAATGCCTTCTGCTCTTTCTGAAAATGAAAATAAGATTCAAATAAAACAACAGAACACAATATAATTGTATAGTGCCGTAAAATGCATAAGCGATATTATTGTTCTATTACGCAGTGGGTAAACGCGATAGGTACAGCATAATACGAAAAATGAACTCATAGGGTTGCTATTTTAAGCAGTAGTGTTACATTAATAAAATTTCCCCAGATGTCTCTAAGTGCACAAAAAATAGGTATTTTATTTTAGAAAAAAAAATTTGAAAGATACAGCTTAAATTATGAAATCTGGCAACATCTAAAATTTGTCAAATCGTGGGTTGAGTATTATAATGTTCTAACAGCACTTTTGGCGCGAAATCGGCTTTTTTGATAGAAAAATAGTACATAAAATTTCTGTTCTATGTGTATAAAAATGCCTGTTTAATTTAACACACAAACTAAAAAAAAGCATTATTAAATTGTTCTATCGCACTTATTTAAAAACGGTTTAAAATTATAATATCCTAACAGACCAACCAATGAGAGAAGAGAATTTTGATCTGTTAGAACAATATAATTTTTGCTGTTTCAGTTTTGTATGCAAGTAATAATCACGTGGTTGTGCGGTGCAATTTAAAAAAAAAGAATACGTAGGTATGTTCTTATTTAAGGGATACTTCTTAGAACCCTAAAGTTTTGTAATTCTTTAGAACTAAAAACTTTTAGTTTTAAAGAATTTTGTATGCTGTTAGAACAAAATCTGATGTTTTGTGTAAAATTTTCGTTTTCAATAAAAAACAATGTTCTATCAAAAATTGTTTATTTTGTAAAACCCAGTATTGGAAGAAATAAGTTCAAATAGGGACAATACATTTTTTAATTCTTAAGGAAATGAGTCCAAAACCAGTACTTAAAATTATAAAAATCTTTACAAACGGTATTAGAATGAGCCTGGAATATTTAATCGCCATTCCCCAACAATTTCATTTTGGATTTATAGAACAATATAATACTCAACCCACGAAATGTCAGTTTCTTGCTTTACTTTTATAGTTCCTTCCATGGACCCTACACAAGGAGCCCGAACTTAATAGGGAAAATTGACAAAACCTGTCCTCTAAATTGCACAAATTAAGTCTTTTTTTTTCACCACCAGCGGCGCTGGTTGTCGATGCGTACTGACGTCTGCTCTTTTTGTAGCGTTTCGGTACAATCTAAACAATTGTTTAAGAATAAACGGAACACCAGCGCCCTCTTATCCTAGGAAGATTCTTGTTTACAGGTTCGGACTCCCTGTGTAGGCTAGTGCCTTTCTTGTAAAATAATACTAAATGTGAAAATTATTTTATTATCTCAATACAAAAATACAAAAGTATTAAATAGTTTCTCAACGCCAATATTTGAAAAGTTTATATGAACATTGTACTGACCTTTTAATTTCGCCGGCATTAAACTATAACTTAAATTCGGGCACGGACTCCACTGTAAAGTGCTCATAAAACATTTTCTTTACTTTCACTGTGAAAAACTGTCAATTTTCAAGAAACACATTTCGATTTATAACCTTTATAATCTGTGTGACATTTGACGGTGACACACAGATTCCCCTATTGTTTCATAGATGGCGCTCTATACAAATTTTTGATTTAAATCATTTGTTCTACTCCCACCTTTAAAACGCTGAAGTTAGCAACAGGTTTTTAGTCACGGGCTGAAGTTAGTTTTAAGTTAGTTGACAGTTGTCAAATGTCATACAATTGTTAAAATAAAGTGCCTTTCTTGTAAAATAATACTAAATGTGAAAATTATTTTATTATTTCAATACAAAAATACAAAAATATTAAATAGTTTCTCAACGCCAATATTTAAAAAGTTTATATGAACATTGTACTGACCTTTTAATTTCGCCGGCAGTAAACTATAACTTAAATTCGGGCACGGACTCTACTGTAAAGTCCTCATAAAACATTTCCTTTACTTTCACTGTGAAAAACTGTCAATTTTCAAGATACTTTTCGATTTATAACCTTTATAATTGTGTTTATAAAATGTAAAAATGTGACATTTGACAGTTTCCCCTGTTGTATACAAATTTTTGATTTAAATCATTTTAAGATAATAATAAGTATTTGTCGTAGAAAAAGTATAGTATGCACCTCGTTTATAAACTTTTCTATACACTCATTAACTTAAGTACTCGCTCGCAAGCTCGCTCGTGCTTAAATTAAATTCGTGTATAAAATGGCGTTTATCAAACTTGATACATAATATACTATTAAGAAAATAATAAGTATTTGTCGTAGAAAAAGTATAGTATGCACATCGTTTATAAACTATACACTCATTAATTTAAGCACTCGCTCGCAAGCTCGCTCGTGCCTAAATTAAATTCGTGTATAAAATGGCGTTTATCAAACTTGATACATAATATACTATTATCTGCTTCTACATTGACGAGCTGTGACTTTATGACGTTTCAGTCACGGGCTGAAGTTAGCTTTATTATAAATTATGGTAAAGTGAGGTTAAATCCCTTAAAAGTTGACAGATGTCAAATGTTTAACAAATAAAATTGGCTTTAAATTCTTTTTTGTGCTCGTCGTAGATAAAGTATAGTATGCAACTCGTTTTATAAACTTCTCTAGACACTCCTTTTTTTCAAACACTCGCTCACAATGGCTAAAATGGCGTTTATAAAAATTGATACATAATATACTATTACAGAACGCACGCAATAGAACAGATGAAAACGCCATATTTATATTTATTGACTGTCAACTGTCAATTAAAAATGAATTTTCTTGAAAAAATTAAGCTTATCTTAAGACTGAACAAATAAAACAATAATATTCTTAAAAACATAAAACTTTCACAAATAAAAAATAAATATTTTTAAATAATTTTCAGTATGTTTGTTAACTGGCGCTTTAAATTTTCATTAAAAATATATACATACACAAGGAGCCCGAACTTAAAAGGGGAAATTGACAAAACCTGTCCTCTAAATCGCACAATTTTTTTTTTCACCACCAGCGGCGCTGATAGTCGATGCGTATTGACGTCTGCTGTTTTGGAAACGAATTTTTGAAAAATAACCCCTGTGCAGAAGTGTTATTTCCCACAGATTTTAAATGGATAATTTTAAAAATTCGTTTCCAAGCAAAATAGGATTATGTTGATAGCTTAAATTGAATATTATAGTTTATTTTTTATGGAAAACTCATGAGCAAGCTTGTAAGATACAAAATTAAAAAAATAGCCTATGAAAACAAATAATTTTCTTGGAATCTGTGCTCTACAAAAATCTGATAATATTTGTAAATGTGTCTGATGCCTCACAAAATCATAAATTAAATGTTGAAGACATTAATGTCTAGAATTCTATGGAAACTTTTCCTAGAGATAAAATAATATTAATGATTGAGGTTTGAGTTAAAAGAAGTAGTGTAAATTTCCTAAATTCTGTAATTGGAAGAAAATGTACTTAATATACTTGTTTAATAAACTTTAGAAAATTTTATAAAAATTACCAAAATCAATTCGACACTTTTTTTATTTTATTGTTTTATTTTAAGGACAACTTGCCGTTGAAGACATGGATGGCGGTACCTTCACTGTGAGCAATGGGGGAGTATTTGGTTCCCTGATGGGTACACCCATCATTAACCCACCTCAATCTTCTATCTTGGGCATGCATGGTACCTTTGAAAGACCTGTAGCCATTAAGGGACAGGTAAATATATAAAACAAATATCATTGTAAATATTAATTTTTAAATTATGTTAGGTACAAATTAGACCAATGATGTACATTGCATTGACCTACGATCACAGGTTGATTGATGGACGTGAGGCTGTTTTCTTCCTCCGTAAAATTAAGGCCGGAGTCGAAGATCCACGTATTATTTTGGCCGGACTTTAAACTGCCACTTAAAACCAGTAAATTAATTTGTAAAAACCCACCTTATTTTAAAATATTTTATTGTTAAACTGCTTAGGAACACATTTTAGATTAAGTCCAAAGTTATGTTCTATTGAACAGTTTTACAATCAAGGTATTTTTTTATCATGCACCACATTTTTAACAGATTTGTAAAATATGTAATTATTGTATAATTTTAAATTTATTTTTAATTTTATTCGATTAAATATTCAAGAGTAATAAGCTGATTTAAAATTAAAATTTTATTTATTTGTAACATGTTTATCATGTTTTGATATTAGGACATTTAGAGTCCTTAATGTATTATTATTATTTGTTAAATATATAAATTTGACATAGATCCCCTTTTTATTTACCTACCACTATAGATATTTAAATATTAGAAAAACAATTCTGGACCATGGGAAAAAAATTTAAAAAATGAAATCTGCAAAACGGGAAATCTGAAAATAAATTAATATGTAAATTTTAAAATCTTTTTTTGCTGTAACATTAAATTAGTATAAATAAAAAACAATCACTAAATAGACTTTTTTGGGGAATAACCTAAATGCGGTGGGAATACATTTCTTCATTAAAATGAAAAACTTAAATTTAATACTTTTTAGCATGCCTGGCAATTAAAAAACTTATCTTATTTATAAAAGGTGTTTTTTTAGTGGGCTTGCCAGTCCGTTTTTTAATGGCATCCGGTCCGTTATTTTTTAAATTTAAAATCCAAAATTAAATTTTGTATTAAAAGCTTTATTTTAATTAGAAATTAGTATTATAATTGTAGCATTAAATAGCAAATGTAGACGAAGTGTAATGAAAAATTATGATTTATTTGATAAACTAAAATAAATTAATGATATTTTTGATAAAAGCAAAAATGCCTTGGATAAATTAAATACTCCTGAAAAAAAACTGAAAATCCATATTCTTTTTATCTGTAGATTAAAGTTTATTAAATATAAAAAGAATTGTAGCTACAAAACTAGAGTTTATATTCTGTTTGTCTGGAACCTTGGCTATGATTAAACAAATTTTTTCCATTTTCCATAATATTTGAAGCTATGGCTTGCTCTTTTTACAGTAAAAATCTTTCATTCCAATAAAAGTAAAGACAATATTGATTGTTAATCATATAACAATTAAGTTAAAAGTAGGAAACAGATCTCAAAGAAAGTGCACTAACATGTTAACAGACAATTAGCATAAAAAATATGAATGGTCAAAAGATAAGCCAGACATAAGGTAGTCTATTTTATACCTACATGTATTTGCAAATAAATAGAACAGTTAAATCTTTTATTTTTATTATTTTAATTTTTAAATAATTATTGTTTTTTTAAGTTAACTTACTGACTTTATTTATGTAATAAATATTTTACAAAAAACGTGCTTTGGTCGTCAGGGAGGGCGGGGTATGCCCTTTATTTAAAAAAATAAATATGGCAACCCTATTTTTTAGAGGTTTGAACCTTAGAATGAAATAAAACTTACAAATAATGGTAAAGGCCATGTTTTTGGGTCCATAAATAAATTGGAAAGAAAATTGTATGCCATTTATGTTTGAATATGATTTTAGGTATACTAAAATACCATTTACATTGTAAAGTTCACAAGATAAATATTTCCCAAAATTGCAAGGATTTTTTCAATTTTTGCTGTGACCAAACGGTTTGTTTTCGGGCCGAAAATTTCTGCAATCAAGTTTAAAGAGAATTTTAGGGATTGCCATTTTTTTAATTAAAATTTACTGGTTTTATTTACAGTTTGTTTTAAATTTTCCCCGACCATTGGGAGGTGGAAATGAATTTAATTGTTCATTTTCTTTAAATGAATAAAATTTACTTAAATATTAGAGATGGAAAAACAAATTCCACATTGTTAGTGAGACATCATAACTTCACTAGCAACAATTATTTTTGTTATTTAGTATTAAATTTAATCAGTATTGATTCTAGAAAATGGCCACCCTGTCCGTCCTTGCTGTAAGTAGACGGGGAGGCCAAGTAACTTACCACACAATATTACACTAACTAGTTTAATGTAGTAACAAAATGGAAATTTAATAGTAAAAAATTCATAAGGAATGTTGTATAAACTTCTACACCAAGTTTAATATTACTTACCACAAAAACCCTGAAAAAAAAGCTTCAAAATAAAACCCAAATATTTTATAAATACGTCATTTATTTATAAAAAATCGAAGTTTAAGCATCAGCGATGGTGACTTCAACTTCTACACCAGGTTCAATATTGATTGATGTAATTTGTTTAACAATTTCTGATGGAGAGTGTAAATCGATGACCCTCTTGTGAATTCTCATTTGGAATCTGTCCCAAGTTTTGGAACCCTCTCCACAAGGGGTCTTACGGGTAGTGATACGTAAAATTTTGGTTGGCATACGTACTTACGTACTGGGCCCTTGGCGCGCAATTTTTGCTTTTTAGCCTCCAGAATCAAGTCTGAGCACACTTTTTCCAATGATCTTACATTACGGGATGTCAATGTAATTCTGATGTGGTGGATTGGTGCTGAGTCCTGTGCGGGCTTTTCAGCATTGGCGACCTTTTCGGTGGACTAAAAAAGAAAACACAAATTTATACACGTGTTTATAACCTAACTTTTTTACACTCACAAATATGCTGTTTTTGAACGTGAAAACCAGGTTTTAAATAATGGGATATAATTTGTATACACTTACCATGATAATGATTTATTATTCTGGTCGAGTTAATCAATTTTTCTACTAAAAATTGACCAGCGCTGAACCAGAGAACTGATGCAGCAAGGACAAATTGAGAAAATGGCCGAATTCAAGTTTGGGGATTTTCGAGCTTGACAACGGTAGAGGCTCCATGTTGACAACACTGGCGAGCTAGGCGCGAAATCTGAATTTCATGTTTGTAGCGGGAAATTTAAAAAATATATAATATTGTTTGATTATCACTCAACGGTTTGGTAATTTAGATAAAAAAAAATAATATACTTACATTAAGTATATAATTATTATTATGTACAATGGGAGACACGGAATTTCTAACGACATCAAAATCTTAAACTTCCTTTGTGGACAACCCCAGCAAACCAAATCATGTCACAGTGATATAACATTTACATAAAAATTGTTCCTTACTATGCAACAGCTATGTCACCTATATGTAATGGCAATGCTCCTATGTCCGCCTCAAGACGCCTTCCTGGGTATGTAACTGTGATGTAACAGTGTTTTATCATAGTTATGTAACTGTAATGTTACAGCGCCATATCAGTTATGTAACAGTGATATAACATTTACATAAAAATTGTTCCTTACTATGCAACAGCTATGTCACCTATATGTAATGGCGATGCTCCTATGTCCGCCTCAAGACCCCTTCCTGGGTATGTATCTGTGATGTAACAGTGTTTTATCATAGATATGTAACTGTAATGTTACAGCGCCATATCATAGTTATGTAAACGTGATAAAACAATTATATTCTATTTACATAAATGTTGCATTTACTTATTTATAAATAAGTTATGCAATATTTACATATTATTTATGAAATAGGTATTTATAAATATAATTTCATGTAATATATTATATAACTGGTATTAAAAATTGCTTAGCCCTAACTTGGTATTATGGCAAATTTTTTGAAAAAAAAATCAACAAAATTTTAAAATTGCCATAATACCAAATTAGAACTAAGAAATTGTTAATACCAGTTAGATAATATATTAAATAAATTATAAATAAATATTACATAAATAATAAGTAAACATTACAAAAATAAATGATTCTGAAAGAGATTTAAAAAAAACAAATTGGTTTAAATGTTTATTAAAAATTATTTTAATTAAAAAAAAAACAAATCATTTCTTCTTTCCAACTTCTTAAAACAAACGAAAAGTTTTTCCAAACTTTAACAAAAAAAAATCCTGAATACATTAATACTTCAAAGCTAAAAAAGATAAAGCAATCTCATGAATTTAATATTAATATACTACCTTATTTTCATGGGTTTTTTGCTTCCCTACCATATCTTTGTTCGGCCTGCCGGAACCATTCGGACACTATGCCTTCAAAATTTTTATCTGTCGAAGTGCACACAGCAGCTTAAAAAAATTTATTTAATAAAAAATCCCATACAATTTACATTTTTACCCTTTAATATTTTAACAGATTTTAAATTTTGAATTTTATTATTATTTCTTAGCCCCAGCCAAGTGCAATCTTTTGCCAAATTATTTGAGAAAATTTTCTTTAGAACTCTTACTGTGGCATCTTTCTCTGAGACGCCTCCAATTTTTGTTATATACTGAAACTGAAAAAAAATACAATTTAATATTATTTTTGTTTATTGATTTGTTTTCAAAACAAAGAACAACTATTCTTTATTTAGTTTTGTAAATGATATTTGGTAATATGTAATTCAAGTCAAATGCACCCTGCAACCTTAAGAGATATAAAAATAATGAAAAATATGGAATTTGCATAAAATTAATTAATTAAGTATAATAAGAAAGTATATCCATCTTATTTAGAAAAATTATTGTATCCAGTTGAAAACAGTATAAAGTTAAAAATTTATAGATATTAAACTCTTATTTTGGCTACCAATTATTATTATTATTTAAATATCATTAAATTATAATTTGTCGCTTGTTTTTTTAGCACCCTGTTTAAAAAACAAATTAACATTATCAAACAGGTTTAAAATCGCCCTTTATATACTTACAAATTCAGCCTCTACTTCTTTTTGCAATAATGTTTTCTCAAAACTTTTAACAGATCAGTAATAAAAAGTTGACTAGGTAAGTATCTATTACACAAATTTTGCAAATCTTCTACAAAAGTATGGGAATTTTCCCTATGACTTCCTGAATATTCTCCCAAATTTTCTGTAAAAATATTTTTTTTAATTGAGCTGTTTTTTTATTGGCTGGTTAGGGGCAGAGCTGTGCGGTACTCGAGTACAAGTACTCAAACACTGTACTCCAAGTACTTTCAGTGTACTCGGTACTCAGTCCCGAGTACTTAAATTTGGATGTACTTATACTTGTACTTGATACATTTAAGATTGCAAAAATGTACTCGAGTACTTTCCCGTGTACTCGAGTACTTTTACGTGTACTCGAGTACATCCAAAGTATGCAATGAGTACATTTTTATGCGGTGAGGTTGGCGTGGACACATATGTGCAAATATGTGCGTGGGTGTTGAAAATTTGGCAGCCTCAGCCAGCCTGCCTCACACGACAGCCTTAAGACATCCTCAATCAATAAATAAAAAGAGCATTGAACAAAAGGCTTTTACTTATGTATGAAATGTAATTTTGTTTATATTTTGGTAGAAATAAGGTGACAATATTCCCCAAAAAAATAATTAAGGCTAGTGTTTAGTTTTGCACTAGTGATTCTAAATTCATTTTTTAATTGCCCCATTTCTCTAGCATTTTTCCCAACATTTTATAACTAAAGTGTACTCGGTACTTTGTACTCGTATGGGTACTCGAGTACAACGGTACTGTACTTGTACTTGGTACTCGAGTACTTTTATATAAGAGTACTTGTATTCAGTACTCGAGTACTTTTTCATTGTACTCGGAACAGCTCTGGTTAGGGGAATATACTTCGGTTTTAGCCTCAGTATATTCTGGCAAAGGTACACTTTCCACATTGTCTTGGGTATTTTGTATACAATTTCTTACCTCCACGCCCATTATTTTAAGATCTGCATTAATTCTCCTCCGCTTTTGCCTCCGGGATAGGGAAATATATTTTTTTCTATTTTTTTGTTTCATTTCAATATAAAACAATGGAATCAAATTTAACTTAACTTAAAACACAATAGAGAGCACTCGACACAACCGTTTAAACGAGTTTGTTAGTAATATAAAAAGGCTATATAAATACTATAAAACATTAATATATAACATTTATATATCATTGTTACAGTGTAGGTATAAAACATTGTTATATAGCCATGACATAGTAGGGATGTAAATATAACAAGAACGGATCATTTTTATAACTATTATATTAAAATGTTTTATTATAATTATGTAACAAAATAAAGAAAAACTATGTAAATCCCATATAATAAGGTTATATGGATGCTATAAAACATTGCCATATATCAATTATGTATCATTGTTCCATTGTAGATATATAACATTGTTATATGGCTGATACATAAGGGGGATGTAAATATAACAAGAGGGGAACATATTTATATAAATGTTATATTACTATGTTTTATCATAATTATGTAACAAAATAAAGAACTAATATGTAAATGTTATGTAAACAATTTTATATGGCAATGTTCTTTGTTAGTTATATCATGGCTATGTAAATGGAACAGCCTGGTTTGCTGGGACTAGTCTGGCGCCTACGTGCAGCATTCGTTGGTGCGCCCCTTTTATATTTAAATATAATACATTTAATATTTTAATTTTAAGCCCTTAAATTAAAAAAATATATATTTTGCGACAAACTGGCAATATGTACCTAATTGAAAATGTAAAAAACCGCTTTAATTAAATATAAAAAATATTTATTGGATTACCAAACAAACAAAATCACAAAAAATATTCATATATTATATCACGAGAACTATGAATTTAATCGGTTAAACTAGGCTCAGTAGTTTTTTGTTTGGTTTTTGTTGGAAAATGTTGAATGCAAAATAATTTAATAAAATCACGAGACGAGCGGCCGAGGGGTTTTATTTTTAATTATTTTGCATGAAACTATTTTCCAAAAAGAAAAATCAAATAAAAAACTTACTGAGCATAGTTTGACAGATTAAATTTATAGGTTGAGTGATATACGTCTAGATTATTTCTCGAATTAAAGGAAACTATTTGACAATTCATAAAATCTGAAGTATGTGTCAAAATTTAAAAATATATTTTTTAAGAAAATTCCATTAATTTAAGGTATGTAATAACTTATAATACTAATAAGTAATAATTGATATTTCGTAAACTAGATAACTTATTTTTTATTGTTTTTTAGAAAATGTTTGTTAAAACTTGTAAATAACACCATAAAATCGTAAACAAAAATCCAATATGGAGGCTAAAATTTAATCGCTGTTAAATAGTTCTAGTGATTTAATCGCTTATTTAAACGAAATTTATTCGAAAATTCAAGGCTTTTGATTGGTTCATATTATAATGAGGGAAATAATCAGTGATAAAAATACTCTAAAGAAAACAAAAAAAAAACAATCTAAACAATATAATAACTACAACTGGTTTTTAGTGACGTACTCTTTAAAAATGAATTAGGTAGTCAAAAACTTGTTTTCGAAGTAAAAAAGCAGTCACTAAGAACTAATTAGTTCACAGCAATTTGTATCCCGGAGCTTATTATTATGTAAAATTGTCCCCTGAATCCGAAAATACCTTTAAAAATAATTATTATGAAAGTAAAGCACTTTTAAAGATATAGTCAACTCCAATGGAATTTTTATATATGCCTATATATATAAAAATTATTATATATACCTATATATAATTATATATATATATATATATATATATATATATATATATATATATATATATATATTGACTGGGCCAAAAAAATCGACTATTTTTTTTTGGAAAGTTTATCGAAAATATTGTTTGGGGTGACAAAAAAAAATATGGTGAAAGTTTGAGTCCATAATATTAATATTAAGAGGTCTATCATCGCAATTTTAGATTTTTTTTCCTGAGCGAGTTTTTGTCTCAGAACTCCCAAATCATTGAGTTTAACAAAATTGTCTTAAGAATATTTTTTGAAGAAAATTGAATGCTCTACAAAAAAGGTTTAATTGGAATTTCCCGTCAGATGAA